GGTGCCCTGACCCCTTCCTCAGAGACTGTAGGGCTGTAGGGCTGGGGGAGGTCTGGACATGGTGTAACATGTCTTCCAGATGATTCTCAGGGCAGCTGAGCATCAGAAACAGCTGAACTAGTGCTGCATTTTAAAACTCTGGAGCCATGGGCTCAGTCTGCCCCAGTAGGGCAGGGGTTGGGCTGCTGTTTCTGTAAATAAGATTTTATTGGGACACAGCCGTGCTCATCATTTATGCGTCACCTATGGCTGCTTTCCCACTATGGGGGCAGACTCGAGTAGACCTGACCGAGACCACATGCCCCACAAAGCCAAAAATACTTACTGCCTGACCCTTAACAGAAAAACTTTGCTTGTCCTTTCACTCATGGGTTGCAAAATCATTTCAATAGGTGGCAATCAGTATTTTAAAAAACAAAACAGAAAATATTCAAGTGCCTTGCAGGAAGATAAGTGCTGTTACATTAAGTTTACTCATGTATATGCATAAGTTTATATGTGTCTGTGTATATGCATGTGTGTATATATGTAAACATATCTTTATGCATAAGGGGGAATATGTATTTCTTACTGTAGGCAGCAACCCCAAAAATTTGAAAAAATTAAACTGTATAATGTGAGGTTGCTTTCATCTGCAGACTTTCTCTCAGTGGCCAGGGGGCTTTGGCCACATGGATGTGAGTGTGTGTGGGGGGGTTCTGGGTGGGACAGGAGATGTGTACAGAACATGCTTTGCCCGCCTCCCTGTGCTTCTGGGGCCTGCTTCCTACTTGGTAAGTCAGCGTCACCCCTTTGAGGAAGGGGAGAGTGCTCAAGGTCCACCTTTGTCCAAAACGTCATTGCTAGAAGTAGAACCAACTGGAGTTGTGTGCAGTGTGTAGGTATTCATCCCAGTGGGGTGAATACTAAATTTATGGGGTTGCTGTGAGGATTAAATGTACATAGAGTCCCTCAAACTAGGAGGTACTATCCAGTGCTAGGATGTTAGTATTTTTTATCTGCAGCCTCTCATTCCTGTGGTTGGTACCCACATCCCAGCTGTAAGACTAGCTCCTCAACATTACCAACCATAGCACTGATTGCCACATTTTGTGAAGGCACCAGGGGTGGCAGGGGGACTTAGGGAGACGAACACCAGGGCCAGAGCTAGGGAACGGAAAGATGGGGTTCAAATTCTTGGACTACCAGGACAACTTCCATTTCTGAAGTTAATGATAATACAGAAAAATATATTGTTTAGATTTCCTGGCGGAAATTCTAATTTGCTGGCACTATGCTGTGGCCTGAGCGTTGAAATCCTAACCCCCAATAGTATTAGGAGGTGGGGACTTTTGGAGGTGACTAGGTCATGAGGGCACAGCCCTCATGAATGGGATTAGAGCTCTTAGAAAAGAGACACCAGAGCTCTCTGGCCCTACCTGCCATGTGGCCAGAAAGTGGGCTTTCCCCAGACACAGATTCCCCAGGGCCTCAGTCTTGGCACTTCCTGGCCTCCAGAACAGTAAGAAATACATTTCTGTTGTTTAAAGTCCAAGCACTCTGTTATAGCAGCCTGGAGGGACTAAGACGGACTATAAACCATTGGCTGCCAAGAGTAGAAAACAGGCTTTCTGATTAATCAAGAATTATAGGTATGTAACACATCACTTCTTTAAAAAGCATTAGTATAGGGGCGCCTGGGTGGCTTAGTCAGCTAAGCGTCTGCCTTTGGCTCAGGTCATGATCCCAGGGTCCTGGGATGGAGCCCCACCTTGAGCTCCCTGCTCAGCGGGGAGCCTGCTTCTCCCTCTCCCTTGCTAGTACCCTGGCTTGTGCCCTCTCTGTCAAATAAATAAATACATAAGACAAATTGTTAAAAAAGAGAGAATGAGTATATAGTAAAATATAATTTGCATTTTATTTTTTTTAAGATATTATTTATTTATTCATGAGAGACATGGAGAGAGAGAAAGAGAGAGAGAGAGAGAGGCAGACACACAGGCAGAGGGAGAAGCAGGCTCCCTGCAGGGATCCCAATGTGGGACTCGATCCCAGGTCTCCAGGATCACGCCCTGGGCCAAAGGCAGGCGCCAACCCGCTGAGCCACCCGCACGGATCCATAATTTGCATTTTAAAGTGAAAGCAATTTAGTCTGATGATTCAGAAAGCCCGTTCTTAGGATCTAGCTATGCCTCAGGGTCACCATGGAGATGCATACAAATTTGGGCTGCTTTGAAAGGGGTGCTAGATGACACGCTTTTATGGGGTTTAGCCTCTGGTTCCTTGGTTTCCTAATTTGGTCAGGACCCCTTTCTGCATAATCACTTGCGGGATTGATATTTCCCTTTCTGTAGAGTCACTTGCAGGACTGAAGGGGCCCCCACGGTGTCCCAGTCTTCTGAGCTGCTGTTTGAATTACTTCTTAGTTAACCAGTAGCTGTTGTGCGCACACCACGTGCCAAGGGCTGTTCCATGCACGGCCTCACACTAGGGAAAACATTTTCTCCCTAAGTGGAGTCCACACTCCTGGGGCCTGATGTTTGAACGCTTCCGTCAAAAGGGCACATGTTCTGTGAGACAGTCCAGTGCCCCTCTAGACGTGGCAGGTTTTCCTCAATCTCACTTGCTTCTCTCATTTAGGATGAAGGCAAATCCCATCTCTCCTGCCGGGCCTTCAAAGATTTGAAGACAGTTCTTACATCCCACCTCACATCCGCCTACGTCTACCCTGCTCCCCACCCCTGAATTTTCCCTTTTTCATACTAAGAATCCTCCAGCTTCTTGCCCCACCAAATGTGGTAAGAGTTGTTTTTTTTTTTAAGGTTTTATTTATTCATTTGAGAGAGAATGAGCAAGAGAGAGCATGAGCAGGGGGAAGGGGAGAAATAGGCCCCCTTGCTGAGCAGGGAGCCCGAGATGGGGCTTGATCCCAGGACCCCAGAACCACGACCTGAGCTGAAGGCAGCTGCTTGACCGACTGAGCCACCCAGGTGTCCCAAGAGTGTTGTTCCTGAAGAAGAGTCCCTAATAAGCTCTAGTGGCCACTCTGGGCTGTCACCTCGCAGCTCCGAATGTACCTTTGATGCCATGCCCTGTGATGCTGGGTTTGGGGCCCACAATACAGATGGCACATTTGTCAGCTAGTTTCCTACCCATTCTGCCAATGGAGGTTGCAGGAGGGCAACTGAAGGCAGGAGGAAGGACCCCCTCTTCTTGTTTGACTCACTGTTGCTGCTGCTGTGGCCTGGACACTGGCCGTCTGCCAGGTGGAGGTGGCTGGCCACATTCTCCAGCTTCCTCTTCTGGCCTTCCCAGGGCCAGTTCCACCAAACCCATTTTCGAGAGGCACCATCTGAAGCACAGAGCTCCCTCCTCGGAGGCCTGAGTCCCACACCGGATGGGGAGGCCTCTGAGTTCCTGAGGATCTTGCAGGACATCATCTTCTCCAACAACTTCCACCTACCTGATGAGGGCTCCGGGTCTGTATTTGCCTCCCACACTCCTCTCTAACATTGTCATGCGTCGTGATAGCCAACCTCCAGGCGTCTCAAACCCATGATGTCCAAGTCTGAATCTGGCCTTGGTACTTTCCTGTCCCATTAGTAGAAACCTGGGTTCCTTCCCTCCTTCTCCTTCATCCACAGCCAGGCTCCGAGGGCAGGCCACTGACGCATTTGCATTTCTGATATGTTCCTTCCCTTTTTTTTTTTCTTTTAGAAAGATTTTTATTTATTTATTCATGAGAAACACAGAGCCACAGGCAGAGGGAGAAGGAGGCTCCCCATGGGGAGCCCGATGCAGGACTGGATCCCAGGACCCTGGGATCATGACCTGAGCTGAAGGCAGACGCTCAACGCCTGAGCCACCCAGGTGTCCAGATCTGTTCCCTCCTCTCCAGCTCCACTAAAGCTGCCCTAAAGAATCCCTCACCACATCTTGCCCAGCCCTTTGCTCCAACCTCTCACTCCTCTCCATCCTCAGCCCTCGGCAAGCCGGTCCCACCCACAGAGGTCGCTCATCTGTCCAGGGCACAAATCCAGCAGCATCACCCCCCTCCCTTCCTGCTCAAGTTTCATCTTTTGTCTCTTGCTATAGTTAAAACCCAACTCAATGCCACCTTTTCAAGAAGGTGCCCCGAGGCACGTTCCCTTCCTCCGTGCTCCCCACATCCTTGGTGGTGTATTTTTATTTTTTATCCATGCACATCACTTTGTTATCATAAACCTTCTTCTTCACTAGCCCGAAATCTCAAAGGGCTATTCAGAGATCATTACCACTGGAGACAACACCCGTCATGCATTTGGTTAACAAGTGCTTATGGGTTACCTTCAAGGACTCATTTGCCCTAAGAGCAATTTTTTTAAATTAATTAATTAATTAATTAATTAAGTTTTTATGAGGAGTATGTATTTATTTTTTTTATTTATTTTTATTCTTTTATATGTATATTTTTTATTGGAATTTGATTTGCCAACATATAGTATAACAACCCTAAGGGTACATTAAATTGTGTTTTGCCATTAAGGATTCCCACACCGCATGGATATTACTCAACAACGAGAGAAATGAACTACTGTTACATGCAACTCTTTGGATGACTCTCCAGGGAATTAGGCTGAGTGAAAAAACAGTCCTATACTGCATGATTCCACTACTATGAAATGAAATGACAAAATTATAGAAGTGGAGGTAAATGAGGGGTTGCTGGGGTTAAGGAGAGGATGAAGGCTGGGAGGAAGTAGGCGTGGCTGTAAAGGGCAATGTGATGGATCCTTGTGTGGCTTTAGGGGAGAGAACTGTCCAGCATCTGCGCCGTGTCAAGGTCAACATCTTGGCTGTGATATTGTACTTCATGTTTGCTGGATGTCACCATGGGGAGGAAAGGGGTAAAAGGTGCCCATGATCTCCTTCTGTATTATTTCGTACAACTGTACGTGAATCTACGCTGATCTCAAAATAGAAAGTTCAATTAAAAAAAAAACAAAAAAAGATTTCCCACCACAAAGAAAGTAGGCTGCACACATTTTTCCAAATGCATTCTTTTTATTTGAGAAGGACGATCTCAAGGCAGTGGCCTTTAGGAAAGGCATCTCTCATCATCGTGTACATCGAGATCAACCGTTACTCTCGGCAAAGTACAAAAATACACACATCAGTGACTTCCGTACAATAAATACATAATCATGCATCCCACAATAAAAGGCACGGAAAACTGGTCACTTAGTAGTCATAAAAATTACTAGCTACATTAACAAAGCCACCCAAATTATCTGTATAAGTAACTGTAACAATATATTCCAAAGGTGAAAACACATAAAACATCTTTAAAATAGTATGCAATAAATATCTCAATCGTATATATTTAAAAAATTATGCCATTGTAAACAGCATGTAAACAAACAAAACACATTTTCTTACCATTATTAAAAGGTTCGAACTAGAGCCAAAGTTACAACCTCTGCTCTGTCGGGTGTATTTCACTGGCAAGTGTGCTAAGCAGTTAAAAGTTCCACTCTTTTCTGCAGCAAACAGAGCCCATTGTGTAATAAATAGACATGATCTGCATCTTTCAGATACAAGCAAAAATTTCAAAACAGACTACCAAAATGTAGTAAATCCTCAACTATAAATAATATGGCAAAGGCTAGATTAAAACTATCTTTTGCAATGTAAGGGACGACAGGGACTATGTTGTTAGGTTCTCAACACGATGGTAAACAGGAGACAAATAATTATTGATTATCTTCACTGAAAGGTAAAATAATAAGGGCCGAGTCTTCTGAGCCTCCTTTTGTGGCCCTTTTACGGAACAGAGAGTGAAGTTGCATCAAACTAAGAATTTCCTGCTGCTAGAGAACGAAGAAATGGTTGATGACTTTATACTGATGGGAAAGAAGGACTCCGAAATATGCCTACCAAAATGTAAATAAACATACAAGTAAGGTTTTTTCCATACTTACTTACAGTAAAGACTTTTTTCCCTTCCTATAAAGGAACCCTATTGCCTAACCATCAATAAATATTCAGAGAATTTGTTTATAACTCAAATGTTTTGTTTTCTTTCCTCTACACCAGTGCATTGTGGCATACAAATACTAGCAGTATATTTGCTATATGCTCAGATATAATGCTACCTGTTAAATATTACTATTCCCCATTAAAAATAACTGAGGTGGAAATATCAACCTATTACTTCAAACTTGGAGTCTTTGAAGTATACCAGAAAGCACGACTTCATAATTTTTCCCCTTTGCTGTGGGTTTACAATGCATACCTCATATATTTTGGTGTATGTGCCATGAATAGGGATATACACCTTCCTCAAAAGGACTTGAAATTTAACCCTTGTTTGACAAATCTATTAGTCTCTTGGATCACACATGGCATCTACAGTTGCAGAACTGGGGCTCTATAGGACTGATGGAAGACTTACTTGACAAGTGATGGCCAAACGTTGTTTGTGGCTGTACAAAAACTGGACATAAAAATGGGATTAATTCTTTATGACATAGAATTTGGTTATTTTTTTGGGGGGGTGGAACAAGACTACTCTGAAATCGCCTGAGAAATATTCAGTGAAAAACCTGTCCTCCCATATTCTTAGGCTGTAGAAAATAATTGTGAAGACAAACTATTTTATTGTATTCCCAGCATCTAATCGAGGGCCAAGTATACAGCAGGTACAAAAAATGTCTCTCGAGTAAAGGAAGAAAGCATTTAATTTAAAGACACGCATTTTTAATTTTTAATTACTATTTAATTTTAGAAATTGTTAACTATAAGGAACTTTTTTGTGTTGACCTTTATCATGATTTGGGAACATGGTAGAAAGGTTTTATAGGATCATAAAAGATAAACAAGCCATTAGGTAACAGATGTTAGTCTCTGTGTTCTAGAAGGGGTGATAATAGCAACAGACAGCTATAAATGACCTGAAATCACACAAATTCAGCCTATATCTCTAGCAGACTATTCCTTTTGAGAAAATTTCCCCTTCACTACTGGTTTTGATTCTTCCTTAAATCTTATAATTTTGCTTAGATGAGCAATATATGTGTTCATACAGATTGTACACTGTGTCTGCAAAGGAGAAAGGTCATCTTTAGGGCATATTTAGGAATTACAAGCAAGAAATGGACAGTTACGGGAAAATTCTGTAAGCCTCGTTTTTAGAAACAAGAATTCAGATTTGGTAAATCTTTCTGATTTAAAGCTAACAAATGATTACCCTTTTTCAAAATAATCCCTCTCCCTTCATGTTTATCTTCTGTTGGCTTGCCCAGCATGCGTGCGTGCTCACCTGCTCATGAGTAAAGGCACCCCTCACGTGACTCAGGAAGTCTAAGCTTTCATTTGTCAAAGTATAAGAATAGAGAGAAGTTTGGGTTCTATATAACCTTCGCTCCTTCAAAAACAATTATTCAACCCCTATTACGTGCTAGCTCCACAGACTACAAAGACAGAGAAATTCCAGGGGTGGGGGGAGCTATATTGAAACGTGATGTTATTTTAACAGAGAAAGTTTAAAGATGCTTTGGAGCATGGATGAAATACTTAACTCTGGCTGGGAAAGCCAGGTAGAGCTTCACAGAAAGTTAAAATCTGAACTGAGTCTTGAAAAGCATGGATCTCTAGCAAGTGGTTATGCCAAGGCAGTGAACTGCAAGTAGCTCCAAATTCCTGAATTACAAAAGGTCTCTAGAGGAATCAGTGGCTGAGGATGCTACAAAAGGTAGGCCGAGGCAAAGCCACAGAGCCCCTTACCTGTCACACCAAGAAGTTAGGTTGCTCTACAAAAAGGAGAACCTACGTAAGAACTTTTCGCAAAGGAATGACAAAGCAAATGTGCATTTTAGAAAGATCACTCCGTTGACCATACACAAGAGGGTCATATAGAGGTAGGAGAGAATGGATGTAGGAAAACTGGTTGCTGGAAAACAATGGTAAGAGCACAGGAGAGAAGAATCACGAAGGTTTGTACTGATAGAAGGCTGACTAATGCGATGGAACTATTGCTTTACTGCAACCAGAAATAGAACAGAAAATGCCAATTCAACTTTTGAGGTGGATAAAAACTGAAATACGCCACCAAATAAACACCGAGAAAGCTTTGATGTTTGAAAGGCTTTTTCTTATACAATCCAAAACCAAGGTTGGGGTGAAGCAATGGTTTTGTTCCATATTTTAGTTTGTGAATTTCTTGGCAGAAGCACAAAATCACGTCATGTTGCTATGAAAACGGTGTCATCTCTCAAAAGCTTTTAAGTAGAAGGAGGAGAGGAAACAAAAGAACTGCTCCAGTTTGCAACTCTTCCATCCTCATCATTACAAATATTAAAAAGTTGCTGCACAACGGAGATGTGCAAACAGGGTAGGTTCTAAAAAAATTTACAATTACCGTTAATTATCCTAGGGTCATCTGTATACCAGGTATTGTGAGAGGCAAATACCCAGAAAAATAATTCCTTCCTGTCACTGTACCAAATCATTCTGGAATCACCATCTAAAGACCCGTCTTCTTGACAACTGGGTTGTGTCACTACACAGATTAAAATCTCACGCAGAATTCTGATTCTACCTTTTCCCTCTTTCCTGTAGCTTTCACCCTCTTGTAATTTCAACATTTTCAGGAGGAGGGGAAGTAACGGGAGCTTCAAGTCATCATATTATGCTACAATAAATACCAGATTTAGGAACAAAATTTTAAGTATCAGTTAGTGACTGAATTCAAATGTCTGGTGAAGATAGAAGTCAATATTAATTTACCCTCACTTTCATTTAATGATTTTAACAACAACTGAACTCAGATTTCCATTATGGTAACACTGGTAACAATCTCTAATTTCGTTTCTTTATAGGAAGTTTCTAAGGTACTTCGCATGACGGAGCACCATCCCACAGCCAGAGAATGTAGCTAGTGCTCCAGCTTCCGAGTAAGTGACACCACAGGATAAAACAAGATAGGAAAAGTCCCCAACAAAACTTGTATTTTTCTAACCACTGATTTAAAGAGACAGTTTCCTCTTTGGGGAGTTAATCCTTTTTTTTAGATTTTATTTATTTATTTGAGAGAGAACGAGAGAACACAGAGAGAGAGAGAGAGAGAGAAGCTGACTCCCCATGTAACAGAGAGCCTGATGCACACGGTACTCGATCCCAGGACCCTAAGATCTTGACCTGAGCCAAAGGCAGACACTTAACTGACTGAGCCACCCAGGTGCCCCTGGGGAGTTAATTTAAGAAAAGACATGAAGATATTAATTTTTTTAAAAAGTATCTATCTATATACTACTAGGATGTGACTGTTTAGGGGGAGTGTAGAAAAAAATAAAATTATTAAATTTCTAAAGATTCTGAAGTGAGAGTAAATGAAAATATGGACCTGTAATACACAGGTGAAAATATCCATAACCTACTCGGGTACAGATAGTAGTCCTGCAGCTTCACTCTCATGTCAAACTGAACATCAGGGCTCTTGATTTGGACTTTTAATTTTCATGCTATAGTTTTGGAAGTCTTTCTCTGTATATCAAATGGCAATGGGAAAGAATTGGTCAATCTCAGTATGATTCACACTTACATAATTTCTGCTGTAAAAGAAAAATTACCAAGTACTTATAATTGGTAATACTGTGTGCCACTTCCAAATGGGAAAACAGAAACACCAAAACATCCACAGTCTGTAGAAAACACACAGTGAGCCAGTGCCAGAGTCAGTTATAGAACCAAATAAATCTAAACCACATTTCCAACTCCAGAATCATGTAATTCAGCTATATACAATATTGTAAATTTTGACAATCTTTCATTGTTGCAAATGAAAGGAAAATCTATCACTGCTAACAAATCTCAAAGCTTAGCCAAGTTCATGAAAATCTCTTTAGTCTGCATGGTACAGGCTGATCCACCTTTACAAGGATTTTTTTTTTTTAACGTGTTATTTATTCATGAGAAACACACAGAGAGAGGCAGAGACAGAGGCAGAGGGAGGAGCAGGCTCCCGGCGGGGAACTCAATGCAGAACTTGATCCCAGGACCCTGGGATCATGACCTGAGCCAAAGGCAGACGCTCAACCACTGAGCCACGCAGGTGACCCTATGAGGATTCTTCTGTAGGAACTGGCTAAGTCCTCGTGTCTCGTTCTCCCTCAGTCAATCACTAAGTTGACAAAACACAGACATCTGCTCATGTAAAAAACACAAACGAGGTCATCCCAACTACCTGCTTACCTGACTTCGAAATTGCAACAGTAGAATGAGCTCCCTGAATTCACTGGCTATTCTGATACCAAACAGATCCAGTCTCAGACGTCACCAGTGTGACTTTCTTGGGTTTTTGTGGTATTGAACATCTCACACATGTTTTGTGTTATCTATGTTCTAACTATTCATCTCCAAATCTTCGCCTAATTACCAGCTCGAGCTCCTTTTTCTTTCTACTGTTTCCATATATTTCAATATATTTCTCATATATTTTTCCTGCCTTCCATAATCGCTTGTGCAACAGTGAAATTAATACAAAACTCTCTTTAAAATTTTAGTAAATTAATTCTCATCTCCTACTATACTTCTTAAACAGTTCACAATTCACCTACAGCTCACACTGCAAAACAATAAAACGGTTGAATGTTGGACTTGTTAAATCGGTTTCTTCGGCATACAACATTGGCTCACATTAAGTCAGAACATTTTTTTTTTTCTTCCTCAAAAACACCTAATTTTGTTCTCTGTGGTAGGTTATGCCATTATGTTTTAAATTTCTAGTTTTTTAAAGAGTTGAACAAAGAATACTTTTTTAAACAAAGGTAACTCAAAACTCAATTAAAATCCCACTGACTTAATTGACAGAAACAAATAGAGCACTATCCATCAAGGTTACTATTTGTAAAGCAGGCCAGTCAAATGCAAACTTGTGTTAAAAATACACACCCTTGAATCTAAAGCTGGCCCCCCGGAAGTATGTGATATTTTTTGGGTTCAAGAATGTCAATGTTCAGCTGAGTGCTATACTGACATACAAGCGCTGAGATCTCTTTTATAAGAAAAGCAGAAAGTTTATCACAGAAAAGAAGTCCTAACTTGAAGATAAAATACATATTGAGAAAAGACAGCACAGTGAATCCCTTGGTTACATTAAATTCTTAATATTGATGATTTCATTTTGGCTTTATGCCTTTTTCCATATTTATTTTAAATAGGCAAGTTATTTTTTAACAAATTTCTAGTACTGTTTACCAATAATGGTAAAAAAAAAATACCATTTTTTTAACGAGAAAAAAAACGGGCATCTGTTTGACAGAAATGAGTACTTCAAGTACATAAGTAAATCATTAACAGACCTATTACGCTCTAAGCAACAGCAGTAACAAAGCTAGAATATGCGTTTTGTATAAAGATTAAATTTCACAACATAATAAATAAATGCACTGATTTATACAACTTGAGAAAACCTTCTACTGATGATCACAAATAATACTGTCTTATCATTGACTTTGTTGATATCAGCACTGCCTCACATAGAGATTCAAAGGTAAAATTCTTGCCCCCAAAGCCACAAAATATACAAAGCTGGTTTGTTATTAAATATTTTGTCTGCCAAAATTCCTGCAAACTAAAATACATCTTGGCAGTTTGAATTACCAGCATGATAATTATTTTGGTATCAAAAGATAAGAAAAATTTTAATATGAAAATTAATAAAACCAGTAAAAGGAGAAACTTGTTGTATAAATAGACATTTTAACATAAAAGTGAGACTTTTATCTCACTGGAGAGGAAGAAACAAATTCCATACAACTTACTTGAAGATTTGAAAATAATTATCATATTTTCCCAGCTCTAGATAAATATATTACTCCAATTTATTAGTCATCTTCAATATACAATATATAACTCACAAAACTGGGAAGGTTACAATACCAAAATCTTTCACAGCACTAATTACCAGTTACCAGAACTGTAAGAAATCATTAGCTACATATCAGCTTAATACTTAGAATATACAAATAGATATGGCTAAGCTGTGGTAAACAATAGTGCAAACAGTAAGGACCACAAAATATATTCTTTTTTCTCTTTAGCTTGTTTATCTAATTGCATTATCCTACTTCAATAGCATCATCAACTGAATATGGAACTTATCTTAATGCATTTAAAAAGTATCCCTATGTTCTTTTAGATACGGTTAATTTACTCTTGAAATGCAGCTCCTATGAAATACCCAGACTATTTATAAATTCCTATGCAATGAGTAACTTGTAGCTAAAACGAAATATTTTATGTGGAGCTTTTATAGCTTTTAAGTAGTGGCTTGGTTTCTGTTTTTCCAACTTAAACATGGATGTGCATCAAAAATGAAGAGAGAAGATATATAAATATGTGTAAATAGACTATCTGAGTTACATGAGGGGATCGATCTGTTCATCTACAGTAGTAATATGGGTTTTTATCTTCAACACTGTTACTGAGTTTAGTGCAGTTTCAGTTACCATTAAACTTATATTCCCGAAAGTAACGGAAAAAGTATACAAATAGGTACAGTCCAGCTGTCTTTTATCTCTCTGTTCTCTGTAAGGATAAACTTTTATAGTTTTTTCTGCTAACAGAAATGTCTCTAAACGAAATTTGGAGACAATAATAAAAAGAAGCAATAATAAAGGTAAAGAATGCTTTGGGTATTATAAAAACCAATAATCATTGCCTTTTTAAAATTTTGGTTGTTTCTTCAGGAAGGCCTGCTACTGCAAAGGCATCGTCTTACCATCTGACACAGAGATTGCTATACAAAAGTCACCGGAAAGATGCCATAGCAGAGATGAACAAATCCCAGGCCCCCACGGCACTCTGTGAGGGGAGGCCAGAGAGGAAGAGGCAAGGCTGCCAAGCACCATGGGAACTGCCTGGGGAGGTTATTCCATTGACCAATAGATAGTATTTGAAGAACCTTCACTGTTCACTCTTTCCAACTGATTTTTAAAACCTGGGTGTTTTAAAACTGCCACTTGTATTATTATCAAACTCTGAACCCAGTGTTCTACCCAACTTGCATCTGAAAAATGCAGGATGAGTTCATTCTGAGGGGAGAGGGCAGGAGAGATCTTAAACATCAAAGCTGAGAGATGTATCATTTATGGAGCTTAGTGAAAAACTATACCCTCGAAGAATTTGCATCTATATGACACGAAAGTCCATTGTGTTGTCATCCTAGTCTGAGAGAATAGATAATTTACTTTAAAAATGATGTTTATAGAGGTTTCCACTGTAATTTTCTAAGCCATAGCTCTGCATGAATATTTTCTTTCTCAAATCCTGTTAAAAATAACTTCTATTAGGACTAAAGCGGTGCCCTCTTTATTTCTTAAAATTAGCTAAAGAATCTCTAGGCAGTAATGTTTTAGTTAATGAAAGCAATATGTAAAAATTATTAAGTGAAGGATTATTGGCTTAATCTTAATATAGAATTAAATAATTTGTATTTTAAGGATCAAAAATATGATATATCTCAGGAACTACTTTAAGAAATTATTAACTATCTGAAAAATCAAGATAAGTTAGCATAACAAGAAAAACAAAGTCCAGCAAAACATGCCTTCTTTGAGGGCTTTAACGACACATTCGGTTTACTTGGAGTCATTTTGGTTCTTTTTTTTTTTTTTTCCATGCCTAGTGATTCATTTCGTGTGCTTGCACTGTTTGTATCCTCAAGCATGAACTATGTCAACAAGATAATCTAGTGATAAGAGAAAGTGAAAAGTACAAGTTGTAGGAGACTGGCCCAGCCTTTACTTATCTCAGTACATATTCTTCTGAAATGTTCCCTGTGACTTAAGTTGTGAACAAATGAGAATGCCACATGAGCGAGAAACTCAGCAAAGGTGGATTGTTAGTGACTTGGACATGACGTGGGAGCTGGGAGAGGCCAGCTGCATTCGTCAGCCAATCTTGCTTTATCTTCGCTACCAAAATATAACTCCTGGGTAGGCAGGGCATATCCAGAACTAGAATTAGGGATAAGCATTGAGAAGAAATTGTGAGAGTGATGGATCGGGTTAAAGCTCATTTCTGGTTCAAGGAAGTAGTGGGTTGGGTAAGCTACTCTGAGGGTTTTTTTTTGTTTTTTTTTTTTTGAGAACTCAAATCCTCAATGTCTGGGAGGGATAAAAATGTGGCTAGGCCAGTGTGAACCACTGACAAATCTTGTTTAAGGGGAAGATTGAGATTTGGTAGGTCTGGACGGGACCTGAGAGTCTGCATTTCTATAAACTCTCAGGTGGCATGGATGCTGTTGGTCCATGGACCACATTTGATTCATGACGATCTAGACCAATGCTGTCCGGTAGAATTTTTGCCATGATGGAAATGTTCAACACCTGTAGTTTCTACTATAGTTACTGAACACTTGAAATGTGGCTAGTGCCCTTGGGAAACTAACTTTATAATTAATTCAATGGAAATCTAAACAGCCACATGTGGCTAGTGCCTACAACATTGGACAGCACGGGTCTAGACGTTCACAGGTCATCTCTTCTTAGCCAGAGCGATCTATATCATGGTCTCCAAATCATCGAACTCATCAATTCATTTAGATGAGCAAGTTTCCTCTTATAAAACACAAACTGTAAAATTAGTTTCTTTAAATTGTTTTCCTCCTGACACTTTGCTTAGATGACCCACAATGGACACTTAAGTGGGGAGAGGTGAAAGGAGTCATTCTGTAGTGGGAGAGTTGATGTAGAGAGGGTACATGGCAGTGAGGAATTGAGCAATGGTGACAGTAATGGGCATGTGGGAGATAGGAAGCCGGGAGGTGGGAAGGGAACTCAGAAAGAGAGGTGGAATTAACACTGAAGGGGAAAATGGAGTACTTAAAAATTTTACTTAGGTCTGTCGCCTCCCTTCTTGAGAAGCAAGTTCTGGGGGGCCTGGCTGGCTCAGTCAGTAGAGCATGGGACTCTTGGTCTTGGGGTTGTAAGTTCAAGCCCCACTCTGGGTATGGAGATTGCTTAAAAATAAAATAAAAAATGTACATATAAAAGCAAGCTCTTCAGGAAAATGAAACTGGCAGGGAATGGGTGCCGGCTGGGCTGTGATTTCCCTTCACCCCTCCCATATTATCCAGGCATGGGAGAGCCTGGCAGGGAGGATAGGTGGCGATTACAGCTGGCAATTGGGAGCAGGTTTAAGCTTCTCACCTCAGCTGATAAAAGACTAAAGAGCCCATAATTGAGGTTTTATGGCATAGATAAGAGTTATCACCTAAGAGTAAGAAGATCACCATCAAACAAAAAAATTTAATCATTTATATCTTACTCTAGAATTTGAACATGTAATATAGCTTAAATCTCTTCTATTGGCAAATGGGTATTTTGGGTGAGAGAAAATCAATAAAGATGTTTATATCAATTCATTCTTCTCTAGGGTTCCTTGCCTCTTTGCCTCTACCTTTCTTTTTTTGGTGGAGCTGGACAGGGATCTGTGATCTCACAGCTGAGTTCAGAGACTCTGGCATCTCTCTTTTAATTTCACAGGGAAATGCCTGGAAAAGCAGGACACCTTGCAAGGGGATGGGGAGATGAGCACTATAAAGGAACTGGAAGAGAAGCCCTTGGATTTCATAAGAGTGGGTAACATGACAATATTGAGCAGCTTTTGATTCTTTCACACTACTTGATATAATTCCCTTTGGAAAATTAATATTTATTCACAACTTAGGTAAAATATATAGTCAGACACATTTGGTCAGGAGCCCATCAGGCTCATTTATTTTTAAGATATCCAAATTTTGTGATTTCACTAGTAGTTAAATACCCGATTTATAAATAAGAATAAAGTGTCAGATATTTAAAATTCTTGGCTATCATTAAATTGTATGTCTGACAGTGTTCATTTTAAATGCTTTCCCATTAATTTCTCTCATTAGGCATTTGGCAAATAATTGTCTAGAAAATATCAATGAGAGTATATTTCAAGATTATGCATATGTAAGTTGAATTTACATATAAATGTATATGTGTATAGAAACATACATGTGTAGATGTATATATGTGTGTAGGTAAATTTATTGAGCACCTACTTAGAAGGCTACTTCATGAAAATTGTCACCACTGGGTCAATACCCTGTTTACTTCTCTTATATAGAAGATTTTTAAATATTATAATTAATTTTTGGTATATAATGTCTAAAGAAAGATAGTTTAAGGATATTTTTGTGACTTTTTGACACTTATGCTTTTGGCTTTCAAAGATTTGATAATTTGCAATGTTGACTCCTAATAAGCTACACTGAAGTCTAGTGGGTTAGAAAAAGGAAAATAATATCTACCTGATATAAGAATTAAGTGAGATAATAATAATTAATAATATAAAGCCCTTAAGAAAAAATTTAAAATTTAAATCTCTTGTTGAGAAGAGATCTCTTGTTGTGTCAGTAGTCACTCTAGTCAGTGGGCAAGTCTGCGTGACCCATCAGTATACAAATCCCACTTGAGATCTTGGGGAAACTCCTGGATGTCAACAGCCCACTACATTTATAAAGGCAAAGAGTATTAAATAAATACTAAATTAAAACAAAAAATAACAAAATGTGGGAATTTTGGTTTGGGAAGCTATAATAAGTTTTGTTCAGCAACAGAACATGTAATTTTATGAAAATATCCAGAGATTTTCTTAATGTGCATATCTACTGTTGATAATAGAGTGACATCAAATTGGCTTGCATAAAATGTGTATCATTTGTTGATTATGGCACAGACACATATGTTCACAAAATCTTAGATACAGAATATTTATCCAAAATCCCACATCAAAGAACAGAAAAGTGCCTTGAACCAACAAAAGGTTCTTCGGTAGTAATAAATTAAATTACATTAAAACTGACATTAAAGCTAAGTTTTACGATATTACATGTGACATGCAAGAAAAAGAAAAACAATTCAGGCAGCAATGTCGTGCATTAAGATTTGCATTCATTCATAACATTTGAAGGGTTTCAACCATATTCTACCACCACTGAATGCTAGGAATCTGAGGTCATACCCAATCTAACATTCAAAACACAACTTAATTTATATCTTAGTCTCCTAACCAATGATTTTAAGGAAGAAGCCAATGCCTCCAATAACGAAACCTAAGAAGTTTTAGCCACATATTGTTATGCAGTCACATAGTAAGAACATTCCATCTGACCAGGTTTGAGGAAAGTAAACATTTCCACCTTTTTGACAATGCAATTGTCTCAAATTCCTCCTACCTTCTTACTAATATGAGCATATTTGAACGTGTCAAGTTTGCACAATAAGAAAATGGCTTTGTGGAATGTATTTTTTGGCACAAAAATATTTTCTAATACCTCAAATCAAAATTTTTACCCACAGCAACATATCAAGCCATAGAGGTGCTTCCATGGTGCTTGCTTTTCTAGGCAGAAAAGTACAGAAACAGACAATTGCTTCTAAGAGCTTTGTATTACGTAGCAATTACTTCCCTTCCAAGGAATAGCACCAATATGATTACACCTCAGACTGGGGAGTGCTCCTTCCAAACTCTTTAATTCCCTGGAGAATTCGCTTCATATGACCCACTTTCGTTATCCCCAGGTCCTAAAAATAAATAAATAAATAAATAAATAAATAAATAAATAAATAAATAAATAAATAAATAGAAAAAAAGAGAAGGAAAACAAGTTTATTGACAAGAGAAAACTGGGGATTAAATATTTTACTAGCGTATAGTATAATTAGCATTTAATTCATTTACTTTAGTTTATACTCAATGATTTAGGAAGTAAAAGCTATGAAATCAGTTTATAAACTTTATAAAGCAAGACAAACCTGATATTGAAAAATTACCAACCAGTAGAAAAAATATCACATCCTACACAAACTCTTAAATGTAACGTTCTCAGAAATTATACACAATGGCAGTAATTCAAGAGTCAAAATTAGTTTCTCCTTTTTCTTCCTCTTTTTTAAAACACAGGTCCTTTTGGTATCTCTGATTAAAGTTACATGTGACATCTGGGCAGCCACAAGCGGTCTTAAGCAGCCATACACTTCCTTCCTAGAACAGGGGACTGGAAAGTAAAGCCTAATCCTAAAGAAAGATATCAGGGGCCACCAGCCTAAATTTAGAATGTAAATGTATTTACAGTCACCTTTAGAGCCTTTGATTTGAATGGATTGTTTAAATATTCTACTTTGTAATGTGGAAGTATAAAAAATTGCTTAAACTTAGCTATCTGTGGGTTGATGCTTCTCCTCACAACACTTGTGGCTCCCTTCCCTCAGAACTTTCCTTGTTTCTTACAAAACTGTCTTTCTTTAAAGAGTCAAGAATTCAATATTTAGCTTTCAGAAATGGAGGATGATTCCAGAGTGTGCAGTGCACAGCAGGCACTTGACAAATAAATACTTGTTGCACGAATGAAGGAGATGCATACAAGACAGCCGTGATATTCACTACCTGAAAAGCTAAAAAAAAAAAAAAAAAAAAGACTAATGGCCTCCAAACCCTCTGGTTTCTCTAAGTATACTGGGCACAATGAATGTGAAGTCAAACCCATTCTGTATAAAAAACAGAAGACTTAGAAATATTTGAAAATTAGCAAAAAAGTGGCTTCCAAAGCAGCCTAGAAAACAGGATTATGAGGGACCACAAAATTTTGTGTCTGAGATGATAAAGATTCCAAATATCCATTCTATTTTGTAGGGTAAGAGCACTATTTATTTTTAAGCTTTAAACGAAATAGATCAGACTACTGTAAACACGCACACACACGTGCTCTCTCTTCCATTTACTTTCTGGGCTCTTTGAATTGCATAGCAGCAATGCTACTGACAATTTTTTTATCTATGGATAATTTTGAATCTTTCTGGAAAATACTCTTTTTACAGCAAGTGCTCATTTCAAGCTTGAGATAATTTCTGGGTCACATTTTTACAGTATGTAACCAACCCTGAAAAAGACTTTCTCATAAGACGCCAGGTCATTCACAACCAGTCTTAAGAAACTATATGTTTTCTGAGTGTGTGCTAAAATAGCAAACTTAAAAGCAAGGCCAAATCCTAAAGGTAGATAGTGTCTGCTACCTAACTCTGAAATATAAATGTATTTACAGTTGTGTTGAGATTCTTTGGGTGGGATATTTAAATACTCTTTCTGCTTTGTGATAACATAATTATCTGATTAAGAAATAATTTAATATTAAATATTTTGGGACGCCTGGGTGGCTCAGTGGTTGAGTGTCTGCCTTTGGCTCAGGGCGTGATCCTCAGTCCGGGGGTCGAGTCCCACATCAGGCTCCCTGTGAGGATCCTGCTTCTCCCTCTGCCTCTCTCTCTGTTTCTCATGAATAAATAAATAAAATCTTTAAAAAATAATAATATTAAATATTTTATCTCAGGCCATAGGCACATTGTATCCTCCAGAATAAAAACTTCTTTGAGAGAGGCAGGCTCTGCCCAGAATTACCATTTGGGTATAATGAGATGAATGTTTCCCACAGAGTTACACTAACTTATAGCTAAATTTTCTTTGAGTTCAATACTTTCATGTCTTCTAGGAGTTAGGCTATGATAAAGTTGTGCCATGACATCTGTTATATCTTTCTTAATTTATTTTATCATATTCTTTATTATGGGCCTTTTCTTTCTCTGGATGAATAGTCCTAATTTTGCAGAAATATGCTTTGTATATATTCAGTGATCTCTCTAGTGATCTTTCTAGCCACACGTATGCAAACTTTCCAAATGGAAAATAATAAAAACCAACCATACGAATAAAACCATTGCGTCTTTACCATGGTCTTTAGTGCCCCTCACTTTTGCCTACTGTCTTCCTGGAGGGAGAATAATGGATCAGTTTATTTTTTTTTATTTTTATTTTTTTATTTATGATAGAGAGAGAGAGAGAGAGAGAGAGAGAGAGAGAGAGAGAGAGAGAAAGGCAGAGACACAGGCAGAGGGAGAAGCAGGCTCCATGCACCAGGAGTCCGACGTGGGATTCGATCCTGGGTCTTCAGGATGGCGCCCTGGGCCAAAGGCAGGCGCCAAACCGCTGCGCCACCCAGGGATCCCCTGGATCAGTTTATTTATCTGCTAAAGCACCCCAGAAATATTTTTCTTTTCTCATCTTTACAATGACACATTGCTTTCTCTTGTTGTCTTGCTGATAAGAAAGTAACACCTGAGCCAAGATCTGAGTGGGAGTTAGCCATGTGACGGGTAGCAGAAGCATACCGTAGCAGGGTGCACCCGAAAGGTGACAAAGAGTTTAGTATTTTTAAGTGAATGGAATATGGCCAGGCTGGATGGGGCATAGACCAGCAAGGCCAGTGATTCACCAGCAGGTTAAATAAATGGGCAGAATCGTGTAGGCCTCACAAAGATGTGAGGCTTTATTCCAAGAGAAGTGGGAAGTCATTGAAAGGTGACCCATCTGATGTTAAGCTATCACTCAGAGTTGCTAAGAACTCTGGCCTCACACAGGCCAGTGGTGAGGTGGCATGGAGTTGGAGTGGGGGAAGCAGGAAGATAAATGGGCCGAGTTTAGAAACCTGACTGGGTGATGGCCTTCATGAGTAAGGGGGAAATGATAAAGAAGAGGAAGGTGCTGAGAATGGCAGTGGGTTTCTCCTGCTTGAGCACCTGGAGGGAGAAAGGGGTGATTCACTAAGATGTAGAGTCATAGAGCAGCACAGCAGAGTAGATGTTTGGTTTTTGACGTGTTAAGACTGAGCCCCCTGTGTGATAGGCAAGTATCAGGTCAAGTCGGCAATATAATCTTAAAGCTCATAAATGACGTCAGGGCTGGAGCTACAAACCCATGAACCACTTACATATTCATGGACCATATCTGAAGCAATGGGAGTGGATAAGTGGGTAATCCATTACCGACATTCAACGGCTTTACTTTGAAGAGTCTGCTCCCTCTTACAGCTACGACCAGAGAGCATGGGGAGCTCAATTTCTACCATCATGGCTTTGTACTATAGTAGGCTCTTTCCAAAAAATTATTTTCCTTTTTTTATTCCCCCCTACCCTGTTTTAGAACCAAAAGAGGTAAAAAGGACTATAACAGTACAAATTTCTGAAAGAAGTGTTATGCGGGAAAGAATGTAATTTGCATTAAAAATAAAAACACAACAGAACAAAAAGTCCCATGAAAAGCTAAAGAGAGTTCATAAAAATAATTCTTAATCATTTCCTTTTTTCTCATATTCCTTCTTCCAGCCAGGTCCTATCATTCTAAATTTGACTTTGTATGTGTATGAGTTCTGTTTTTCCATTCTGCAAATATCTGCTTTACTGTGTGTGTATAGATGTATTTGTAATGTTATGGACACATGTACATATATATAACATATACATATATAATTATATATACAGTCTTTTCTTTAAATATATGCTTATTCATGGCAAATGAAATGTAAACTCCTGGAGAGGCTGGCATAATATATCAATCAGTAGCTATTCGATAAATATTGCTGCCTGCCAAGAATATAAGAAACTACATAAATATGTTGGATATAATGATCCCCTATGTTTATTTTTTTTTTAATATTTTTTATTTATTTATTTTTATTTATTTATGACAATCACACAGATAGAGAGAGAGAGGCAGAGACACAGGCAGAGGGAGAAGCAGGCTCCATGCACCGGGAGCCTGACGTGGGATTCGATCCCGGATCTCCAGGATCGCGCTCTGGGCCAAAGGCAGGCGCTAAACCGCTGCGCCACCCAGGGATCCCCCTATGTTTATTTTTTTATGCACTCATTCCACGTTTTGCAGTCAACCTTTACTCTATGGACTCTAGCTTCATATATTTTGCTATTTTCCGTATTTGGGACTCTCGACTGTGGTAATTAATCTATTATTTTATTATTATTATGGTTAAAAATGTTTAAGTATATGTGGCATTCACTTTTAATGCATTAAAGCTGCTTTATAAAATCCTATATGCTACCCATTAATCGTTCAAAGGTCTCTGCTAACATGTTTGCAGATAAAGGCACGACAGTTCATGAATTTATTAGGAATTCCCTGTATCATAATTCTATGCAATTCAGAACTTGTTCTACAGGAAAGGGATCACTGAAACATATGTTAAAAGCTTTATCACTTGTTTATTATTCAATCTTGGAATTTTATTTTTTGTTTTTATTTTTTTCAATCTTGGAATTTTAAAATGGCGGTGTTTGGTAAGAAAATCTAACATGACAAAATTCTCCTCCTAACCTTAAGATACAACAGTCTACTTTGGCCACTTTGAGTCTCCACCCCAAAAAATAAAAGGGAATTGCTGGAGACCATGAAGTAATGATTTTCTTTTCTCTGAAATAAATGACAAACAGACTTTAAGCTGCATTCTCGGAAAAGTGAAGCATAATTTTTACTTCATTTACTGAAGAAGCTAATAAATTTATTTTTGAGAATAATACAATCATAACAGTAAGTCACAGAAAGGATATTTGAATTTATTGGTCTAGTTGTTCATGTGTGCACTGAAAGGACGGTCAGAAACACAACAAAATCATAGGACTTTAAGTAGCCACTGCTGTGTCTTACCTAGTTCCAGATATTAGGAAGACTTTGTTTTTGGTATTTTGAATCATTTTTTAGTTGTTAACCTTTTATTAAGAGTTTTAAGGGTTATTTTCAGCAATAATTACCACCTTGGATGCTGATCCAATAAAATGAACTGATGGAAACATGAGCTATTTGGAAATATTAGCACAGGAACAGCCATATGAATGGATGCAGAGAAAAAAAAAATCATTAACTTCATGCTAAGCTTTAGCTACAACAACCAGAGAATGATACCTGATAGGACAATATTGCTGACATTCTTATTTAAAAAGCATACAAGGAACTCCAACCACAGGACAATGCATATTAGATTACTGCACATTTGCATGACATAAGCCAAGCTAGAAGCACAGAACGAAAGAGGTGCAGGGGAAAGGATTCTGTTTTGCAGGGGAAATATTCAAAAGCAGAAAAGAAGCACAAAGGAAATACCTTCAGATCTCGCCTTTCCAGATGCAAAAGTTCAGCCCCTCTGATGTCATGACGGATGAAGATTTCTTTGTACTCTCCCAAATTGAGCAGATCCAGCCAAGCAGCAACTTCCTCTGTGCCCCATTTTTGAACTACCAAAGTTAAGAGCAAAACCCCCTTAATTTCTACATGCTTAATGCAGTACAAAGCAAAGGTTGGCCAAAGAAGATGCAAGACAGAGTACAGCGGCAGTGCTAGCAAAGGGAAAGGGCAAAGGTGTCGTGTTTCGACAAAACTCCCATTTTGTTTCTCCCCCATGCAGGTTACAGACTGTCAACGAATGCAAAGATCTGACTATGCAAAGACATTCATGGCTGTGCACCGATGCCTTTAGCTTTAGCTCGATTTCCTCTCAAAGTCGTCCAAATTACACATTCTAAATAAAAGCTGTCTTTCTCATGATTAGGATCAATAGTACAAGATCCAAATAAACTCTGATGACTCTCCTTAAAGCCATATATGAAACTAGTCAGAATTTAATTAGCTATAAGCAATTTTAATTTTCAATTAAAATTGAAAATCTGACACGGGGTTCTGATTTTTACAACAGACTTCTGCTCCACGTCTTGCTGAATTCAAGTATTGCTTTTAGTAATTCTCTATTCATAATTCTAATTATTGACAATGATAGCACTAAATGTGTTGTTAGATCGCTTAACGTCCTCTGAAAACTGTCAATACTGCTAAGCTTAGTTGTATTGTTATTTTTCAACACGTATTACCATTATTTTGTGCATGTTATTCAACAGCGATTAGCTTAATTCAAGTGTATCTATTTGCCATATTTGGTTTTAAAATGCTCTTCAATAGCTGCTCTCCAATTGTCAAAAAATAAGGCCGTATATCATTTTTTAAAAGGAGATAGCTCACTTGGAAGAATTATTAAATGATTTGACTGTGAAAGGCACCTACTGCCATATACACAGAACTTGAAGGTGCTTCAGCACTAATGCAGCATTAAAATTAATTTCTAGGGGAAGATGAAAAGGAGGGAACCAGACAGACAACATCAAAGACAGTTTAATCTTCACTTGAGAATGTGAGTGTCACGGTAGACCGTCATCACCGAGGGATGGAAATGGTGTAGTAAGTTCTTGAAACAGGAGAAAGAGAATACATAACTTTAGATGGAAAATAGATTTAGCAAGTTAAAGGAGTGAATGGAAGTTTCTTACATTCCATTAATCAAAATATCTAAATTTTGAACTTTGAAGAAGAAAAACAAATCATACACCGATGCCTTGAATTGTTGTCATGCAAGACAAAGGGCCATCTAAACGGATGCACTGACATCCACTGAACAGAGCATATTAGCGACCACCTCGTTTTCTCGTGTGCTTCATAGCTACAGACTCCTACTGTTTTGGGAACTTACTTTAGGTGTGATATGATTTACTGTATTGCGGTAAAAGGAACATAAAATAAAATTCACCATTTTTACCATACTATTGGTGTACAATTAGGTGGCATTTAATACATTCATAATGTGCAATGGTCACCACAAATAGTTCCAGAACATCTTTATCACCTGGATGGCATTTCTGTAATAATCTATCTTTTCCATAACGTTACACTTTTCCTTCCGGTGCGGATCACCTACCAGGCTGTGAACTTGTCTTCTGCTTCTGAACTTTCTCCTTTTTAAATTTTGGCACGATACGAAATACCGTGCTTCTGCTGTTTCTCTTGGTGCAGTCCATGGGGGGCTCCTGTTCGAATCGAGCAAGAAGAGAATTTTCTCAGGACATTAAGAGGAGAAGAACTCACTCCAGTATCAAAGACAACGCAGGAATAGATTATAAACACAAAACACTGTTGAAGTGATGGCTTCTTAAAAGTGTGTGATGTTACGTACTCCTGAAAATGTGCCGATTCCTTTTCTTCACATAGAAGCCTTTTCTTGCTCATTTAAGAGCGCACATGTGAAAGTAGTATTCAAAATTTATTATCCCTTGACCATCTCTTTTTCAAAAGACGACTCCAAACTATTGTCATAAAGTCTACCTTGATAAAGAAACAGGCCAAATTTTACATACCTCATCTTCATTTGGGTGTAGGATATAATAAAGCCAAGGAATCTCAGTTAATTTCTGCAGCTCCACCTCCACAGAATGTAAGGCGTTGGATACCCGTTCTTCGTGTGGGGATTCTAACTGCTATTTACCAGCAGATTAAAAAAAACAAAATAAAACAAGTCTCAATGACCCATCTCAAACAGAATAAATTCATTTTATTTTGACAACGAACATCCTCATCTCTTATTAGGGTAGGCACAGTTATTGTTGTTGGTAATAAAAAGGAATATAGGAAAAAAGGAGCCAATTATTCTATATTGAGTTCATTTTTTAAAAATCTGGATAGATATATCTGTACTTCCCAAAGATAATACAGTTAGTGTGAATTTAATAATGTCACAGGAAAAAATTATCGCTTTTGGTGGTTTTCTTTTTATTTTTTTCTGAAAATTCTTTCCTCTCTCCCTCCCTCCCAATCCATGCATTCATCCACCCACTCCACTAGCTCGCTTGCTAATAAGTAATCTCACTGCTCTACTTATTTGTGGCAAAAATCCTTCTGATTTCCAGCAAAAATCCTTCTGATTTCCAGTAAGCAAATAATACTATTCTTAAAAATTGGTCAAAAACATGTCACATAATAAGAACTGCTTGGCACAGAAATCTCCTGGAGAATTAAAATAGTAAGTTTAAGGAAAAAAGAAAAAAAAAAAACCCTCCACGAATCTCAGAAAATTTTGTGATGAAAAGCTGTTACAAAAATCAGGGAAAAGCAAAATGCTAAAATGGTTTGCAATCTGGAAGAGGGTTTAGAAACTTTAAAGAGAATTTAACTGGTCACTTATCCACCTATTTGAAGCAACTATTAAAAATCACTTAGAAATTCAATAGTAAAGGTGAAATAAACACTGTTATGTGTAGAACAGGAAGGGAGGTGACTGCCTTCTGGTCCTGGCTTTGTTACTAACTATGCAACCAAGGGGAGGCTGACTGATGGTAAGAGTCTTAGTTTCTTCCTTAATAATTAGTAGAAAATGACTCAATTATTTCTAAGGTCTATTCCCGCTAACCAATCCTTTCATAAATTACTTTAAAACTGTAGAGGATACACATATAGGTTCCCAGAATTTTAAACTGAAAGTTCAGCGAAATTGTTCCTGTTATTTATTACAGTCATTCTTTTTTCCTCTCGGTTATTTAAGGCATCTACCCTTTCTAGTAGTTCGTAAAAATATGGAGATTCTCCACCTTGCCATGTAAGATGTACCACTTTCGAAGAATGAACGCCTTATAAAATTGATAAAATGGTATTGCATATTCATTCCAGAAGCAAAATAAAGTGTAAACCTTAGCTGAACTCAAATATGATTGATTCTGTATTTTGACATCAATATTGGCGAAGGTTTTAAAAAAATTCACTGGCATATGTTTTAAACCAAACACCCATATTTGACAATGACAGAGGTAGATCGAAATGATTAAAAGTCTGCGGGGTTAGTGCTTCCATATTAACATAATATAATTGATAAATATTAACCAACTAACACTCAGTGGGTGCTTGCAGTAGAGAGAGCTAAAACATAGAATAAGTTCTGCTTCTGGAGGTTGTCAGTCAAGAGTTTTCTTTTCTATTTGAAATAAGACAGAAAAATACATGTCCTTCACCTAAAAATTGGGACCAAAGTCACAGCTCCCTGGATTTCACTGGGATCATTTTAGAAGAGGAGCAAGACACCTCTGGTTAATAACAGAAGTGCCAAGAATTGGCAAAATGTTCCATTGGTTTTATCAAAAAAGATAACCAATGTGTCTTCCTAAAAGTCTTTCTTCACGGCCACTGCATAGGGAGCCATGTCTGGCCCCAAGGAAGGTGTATGTATCCCTTCCTCTAGAGGTGGGGAAGAGCAGCGGATGTCATTCATCCTTGAAGCTTCTCTTCTCACAGTAAAAGACGCTCCAAGGACGGTACTCTTCTGGACCCCAATCAAACGGAAATCCTAACCACAGTCACATAGTTAGCTAGACTGTGACACACCTTCCATTTTCCCACTATGCCAGATACTTTGACTTTTACTACCACTTTCCTTTAGGTATACATTTTCCAGAGCAAGAGGTAAAACTACCGTCAAGAGAAATGTTTTAAGATCATCACAGAACAGTTCATCAGAATTGTTCCAAGGAAGAAAAAATGAGCCAATGCATTAGGCTAGCTACAGTTACAACAGCATGTGTGAATAACCCACAGTCAAACACTAGGGGGCGAGAAGACCCAATATTCTAGAATATTTGAAAATGGTGAGAGTAAATAAAAGGCTGACAAGGTCGACTCTGGGGAAATCCAACAGGACATCTGTGGGCTTTCAGCACTTATGCTTGAGGTCCAGGGACCGTGGGCAGATTCAGACCTGCCCTAACCTTGGTTTCCAGCACCAATCTAAGCGAATCTAGAGACAGGGCTAGTTCCTGAAATTAGTTCTCGAAGCATCGAGTCTATAAAGTGTTACCCTTTCAGCAAATCTAAAAACCAAACCAATCATATCGCAGACGTTAATTTCGGGAACAAAACCAATGGTTTCCTCTATTTTACTGCAATAATGAATTCATGAGTACCAAGAAATGCCTGCTACGTTTTATAAGGGCTCAAGTCTCTTCAAAACTGACTGGGGAGAGCAGTGCTGTATAAAAACATGTTGGCACATGTGAATGGAAACTTCTACTCCTGTTAGCCTGAATCATAACCCCCCGAGGCAGCCATATATTTCCTTGAAGGCAAAAGCCAGGTAAAAGGGAAGCTCTAAGGATGGAGGCCAGAGGCAGGTTCGGCATTAGAATTTGATGAATGCATGTTCCCTAATAAAGGTGAGGCCCACACATTGATCATCATTCTTGTATTACCAGTCATCTCTTCCTTACCAAAGGAACCCTGCCCACTAGCAAAGATTCTGTTTCATTATATAGTGCCTTCACATTGATGGCTATTTCAGTGGCAGTGTCTCTCGTAAGACTCTAGAAGAAAAAACAACACATCAAACACAAGTAGTTCTATATGAAGGTGGGATTCAATCATCAGCAAATACTTCAAATTTTATTCTTCCCATAAATTCACATCACAAATATTTGGAAAAACCTACCCAAATTCTATTACAATTGAACAATTTCACCCTCGTATTTGTTCGTATGATTACTTCTTCTAATCCTTACCTCGCAGAACCAAATGAATGCACTGACTATGGTTACACTTAGGACCACATCTCCTGTGTACAAACATGCGTCTGCTTGCAACATATACCTCTTCCCACAAAAAAAGTTAAGTCAAAGAAAATGATGCCTTAAAGAGGTCATTATCAGATCATAATCAGTTTTATCCCCTGACTTTCAATCTTAGAAGTAGGAATCAGGTTGTTTTTTAGGCTTTTACCTTGAGGACTAGCATTTATCTGTACATCAATTTAGGTAACTTCCACAGAATAATTAAAAGAATATAATAATGCTATCAATTTTCTCTATGCTACAACTTGTACCATGTATGGCATTTCAAGAGCACAGTATTCTTTTCCTTCTCTAACTTCTATGTTAAAAAAATTATAGAAGTTACAAATAAAAAAAAAAAGTTACAGATTCCAGCATCCACATGAAAAAGTTTACCAACTTTACCAGTTTAATGGAACAACATGAGGTGAGGACAACTTCTGCACAGAACTTTGACAATGAATGAACATCTTTAATAAAAATGCGTAGTATGTAGGTTTGTCCTACGTCAAAGTGCAGGGAGAAGGTGAAAGAACGAACAGGGAGGAATGACTGTAGCTCAAAGAAGAACGAGTGCAAGGAAGATGGCAAGGACAAGTGATTGAAAGAGAAATGGGGGGAAAGTGAAGAAAATTTAAGAGCAGGAATGGAAAAAACGCCAGGAAAAGAAGAATAAAAAAACATGGCCACACATTTACCATAAGCTTCTGGCAGACAATCCTATAGACCGGCTAATGCTTTTTCAAAGGGCACGGCCCATTTTCTGGCATCGAAATATATGTGTAATACATAACAATCTAGGGAATGAGAATTTACCATTAGCTCCTCACCTCTGGGAACCGTGGGTTGGCTTTATTCAGTGCATGGGAGCACGCATTTACGGCATGGGCCAGTTCTTGCTCCAAAAGACAATGGATCGTGGCTGCGTCACAGATCCTGAAAGCAAAAACGAGGTAGGTGAACAAAAAGAAATTTGAGCATTGCTGATTTCTTTGAAGTTACAGAAATGGTAGATTAAGCCAAGTCAAAAGAAAGAATTAGGGAATTTTTTAAAAAGTGAGTTCAGCTCAACTATGAATAACAAACGGTAGACTTAACAAAATTCAAACCCTACCGCAACAAGGAATATGAAACCAAAAATCTTTATGGGAAAAGTTAGGCTTAGACTCACAGACAAACACACTGAGGTATAATTTAGAAGAACAAAATATAGTAACATTTCGTTTTGAAGTATCCCTGGCAAGTGAGATAGGTCCCAAATGTAGGGAGCAAAAATTTCATCTTTTATTCATTGCAACTTCAACCAGGAACATGTAAAACAGATTAGGGAAAGAACATTGCCATATTTATCATCTATACACTAAGTGCCCTACATGCATTATCTAATTTAATATTCACAACTTAAAAAGTAGCTGTGATTAATTTTCTCCACTTTATAGATGAAGACTTTGAGGGCGTGCAGAGAGTCAGTGTGTATACAAAGCTAAAAAGTCTATTAGTTCCAAAGCCTGTTGTACCACAGTCCTCTGGAATCTAAACCTTCAAGAATATCCTGAACAGACAAGATCCTGGAGGGTATTAAGGCCAAAGAAAAAAGAGGAAAAGTTCAGTCAAGGGCTAGAAAGCCATATAAAGTTTGCAGATGAGCAAGAAAGCAAAACTACGCAAATCTTTTGCTTCTGGCAACTATGAGGAGAATGACCTTCACACTAGAAAGGCTAAAACAAGAGAAGACACTAGAACGGGTAAAACAAGAGAAGAGACTGGGTTAATAGAGTTGAGTCAAGAGTAAAGGAAAAGAGCTTAATTCTTAAAGATCAGACTATCAATATCCATGCCACAAAGGAATTTGCAAATGTCATCTCAATATTTCTACCCATCACCTTGAGAAATCATGAAGAATGGGTTCTTTATCAGAAGCATAGAAGTGGGTAAATGTTATTCTAATTTTCGAAAAAAGGAAGAGATGAATCAATTTCAGATCAATATTTCCAACTGCCTACTCAAATTTCCTCCTAGATATTTCTTTAAAAAAATTTATTTTATTTATTTGACAGAGAGAGCACCCAAGAGAGCATGTATGAGCGAGTGCGGGGTGATGGGGCAGAGGGAGAGAGAGAATCTTTAAGCAGACTCCCCGTTGCGCATGGAGCTGGACATGGGGCACCATCTCACAACCCGGAGATCATGACCTGAGCCCAAATCAGGAGACAGATGCTTAACTGACTGAGCCATCCAAGCGCCACTCCTTCTGGATATTTCTAATATAGTTTAAATTCTGTCATTTTTCCCTCTCAAATCTACTTTCCCTCCTGAATCCTATGGTTCCATCAAAGGTTCCACAATCCATCCAGCCATTCGTCCTCTCTCCTAATTCAGGCCATACAGCAATTTTAGATCATAATCTATCTTAAGTCTCTCTACTTCTTTCCATCTCTAATACCTCAATCCATTGTTTCCTGTCAGGACCATTCTTTTTTTTTTTAATTTTTATTTATTTATGATAGTCACACAGAGAGAGAGAGAGAGAGAGAGAGAGAGAAGAGAGAGAGAGAGAGAGAGAGAGAGAGGCAGAGACATAGGCAGAGGGAGAAGCAGGCTCCATGCAGGGATGCAGGGAGCCTGATGTGGGACTCGATCCCGGGTCTCCAGGATCGCGCCCTGGGCCAAAGGCAAGCGCTAAACCGCTGCGCCACCCAGGGATCCCTGTCAGGACCATTCTAAGAGTGTTCACCTTGCTCTTGCTTTGCTGTCTTGCAAACGATGCTACACATTGTTTCCAGAAACTTCCTGATAAGACCTGGCCTCTTTTCACTCATCCACATTTCCTATTCTCTCACATATACCATGTCACCCTCCATTCCCTGAAATTTCCTAAAAGTACTTGTTCCCTCACACTCCTCTGGGCCTCTGCCCAGGCTTGTTCCCATGTTTCGAATGTTCCTTCTCTTCCTCTTCCATCAAGACTTGGCAGAAGATCACTTCTTCCAGGCAACCCTCCCTTACTTTCTTGGCCTCCTGTGTGTATCCACAGTGCCCCACTGAGCCTGTGATAGCACTTTGGCCACACTTTTCCCCTCCTGCTCCCCTGCCAGCAAATTAAGAAGAGAGGACCACAACACAGCCATTTTGGCATCCCTACTGCTTAATATGGTGGTTGGCATGCAGAAGAACAGACTCAAAACTATTTGTTGAACACTGAATGATCAAGTTCTGAAAATAGATGAGTGGGCCTGATTTTCATCTTTTGCAAAATTTAAAAAAAAAATATGGGGAACCAAATTAGGTTGACCAAAAGCAAGTCTGGCCAACCTTCCTTCACTTTCCTTTTTCTGATAAGGTTATTTGGTTAGTTGACAGGAAGTTATTTCAGAAAGTATATTTGATTTCAAAGGAGATAATACAGAAAGTATATTTTGGTTTCAAGAAATTGTTTCAGTTCTATTTTTAATTTTCTGAAAGACCTCCATACTATTAGCCATAATTTGTTAATTAGCTTGATTATGGTAATTGCTTTACAATGTATACATGTATCAAATTATGTGTACACCTTTTATATATAAATGATTTTACTTGTCAATTATTCCTCAGTAAATCTGGAAAAGAAGCAAAAAAAAACCCTACTGTAAATTGGACTCCACAGAAGTGGTTTGTAATACCCTAAAACGAAGCTCTTTGTGGGTAAGAAACTGAGATATAGAATAACGAAGTTCTCTGTGCATTTGGCTAACTAAATACTCATTTTCTCTTACCTTGCTTCTAAGCTACTCAACATCTTGCAGTTATCATACTTTATTCTAATTCTGAATGTTGGTCTCTAGCAGTAGGGAGTTCGTATCTTTTCTCTCATATCTCTAGCAGCTAGTGCATTCTAGCTTTCCCACAAATATTTAAAGAGCTTTGTTTTCCTTCTTTTTTTTCACAACATTTTTATCAGTGACCAGATGAAGATGTGGTAAGAATATAATAGCTACCATTCACAGAACAGCAAATATGCCAGATATGATGTGCTAATAAGCTCTTTACTTGGTGGGTCTCAGCCTTCACATTGACCTGCAAAGTTAGCTCATATTATCCCCATTTGGTAGAGAAGAGGGGATAAGAAATTTTTCCATGGTTCCCTTCCCTTCCCCCAATAAAATTCACTCCTGGTCATAGTGATTTTTATCTGTTTTACACTCCCGGAACTTGTGTTTTCATCTCTTCCCTTTCGTCTACTAAAATTAATTCCTAGGTGGTCTCCCAATGTCTGGATACGTCTTTGGAAACTGATTCTCAGGCTTTTCCCCACTCCCCCACCCCCCACCCGAATTTCTATGGAAGCAGGGTTAATGTTTATGTTTCCTTCTACATTCCATAAGCATTTATTCAATAATTGTAAAGTAATATATCAGTTAAGTAGTAGAGTGTAAAGATTGTGTAAAACTGGGGAAATCAACAATAACAGAAAGAGCACCGTGTGGTAGGGTAAGTTAGGCCAGCTTTCCACTGTGTTTCAGGAAGTCCAAGGTCTGTTCTGCAGAGAACACAAGTAGCGGGGTGTGTGCGTGCGTGCATGTGTGTGTGTGTGTGTGTGTGTGTGTGTGTGTGTGTGTGTGTTGGAGAGGGTTTACTTGAGGCAAAAATGAGGCAGCAAATGAGAAAGGAGGGTAAATGCATCTCTTTTAGATACTCCCAAACAGCTAAAATTATGTATCAAAACTAAAAAACAAAATTGGCCAAGCCAGGGTTCTCCTCACCTAGAGCATGCAGGACCACCATACCTAGTAATGAGCTCCTCTGCAGCCTGGGAGCACAGCTGCATCTGGGACACCTCTTCTGTTGCCAGGTCAACGGCATGCTGGATGTACAAATGGGTTCGAAGAACTGGCTTACCGGAATCACACTTCTGTTTATCTTCCCAAGATTTCAGAGTGCTTTCAAAAGCCTATTTAAGATCAATATTGAAAGGAATTGTTAGTTTGGAGCTCTGAGACCCACACAAGTGTGTATTTAGGTGTCACACGAATGACTTTGAAACTATTGCTTTTTTCCCAATCTAGAGTTTCATTAAAGGAATTGTAAATTACAAAATAGATGTTTTAAACTTTTTCAGTGTTATCATAACAGATAAGTAATGTAATCTGCGGTGAGGAGTGTATCACTGAAGAGTTTCAAAAAGGACTTCCAATTTAGGCTTCAATCTGTACTTTATGTGCATAAAAGACACGGGCTGGATTTTGGCAGTCTTATTTGTTACAAGTATGACCTTAATTAAAACATATTCTGGAAAAGGTAAAACTATGAAGACAGGCTGAGATAAGGGAGGGAGTGATGGATAGTTTGAGCACAAGGAACTTTTAGGATAGTGAAACTATCCTGTACGATACTATGATGGTGGATAGAAGTGATCATATATTTCTCAAAAACCATAAAATGTACAACATGAAGAGTAAATTATGAACTTTAATAATCAATATTGGCTGATCAACTATAATAAATGTACCACACCGATACAAGATGTTAATAATAAGGGACTGTATGTCAGTGAGGTAAGGAGATATGTGGGAATACAATTAGAATTCTCTATATTTTCTGCTCAATTTCTCTGTGAATCTAAAAAAGTAATAAAAATATAGTTTGTTAACTCTTTTTTTGGGACAGAGAGAATGCACACATATGCACATATGAGGCAGGGTTGGGGGAGAAGGAGAGGGAGAGAAAGAGAGAGAATCCTAGGAGGCTGAGCAGGGAGCCGTATGGGAAGCTTGATCTCACAACCCTGAGATCATGACTTAGGCCAAAATCAAGAGTCAGTTGCTTAACCAATTAAGTCACCCAGGTGCCCCTAGTCATCTATTAACTTTTTTTTTTAACATTGTATTTATTTGAGAGAGATCGAGCATGCACACAAGAGGGGAGAGGGTGGGTGCAGAGGGAGAGGGAGAAGCAGACTCCCCGCTGAGCTGGGAGCCCCCATGTGGGGCTCGATCTCAGGATCCTGGGACCATGACCTGAGCTGAAGGTAGATGCTTAAACAACTGAGCCACCCAGGCACCCCTCTATTCACTTTTTTAAAAAACTAAATACTTATTCATATTTAAAACCACAATGACCTAAATGTCAGATTAAGAGACAATTTAGGGGAAGCCTGGGTGGCTCAGCTGTTGAGTGTCTGCCTTCAGCTCAGGGCATTATCCCGGGTCTGGGGATCAAGTCCCACATCAGGCTCCCTGTGAGGAGCCTGCTTCTCCCACTGTCTATGTCTCTGCCTCTCTCTCTGTGTCTCTCATGAATGAATAAATAAAATCTTTAAAAAAAAAGAGAGAGAGACAGAGACAATTTAAATATTTTTCCTTGGTTTCTATTCTTCCTAACAACTTTCTTCAAGTAGACTCCACATCCAGCATGGAGCCCAGCTCCAGGTTTGAACTCATGACCCTGAGATCAAGACCTGAGCTGAGATCAAGAGTCAGACACTTAATCGACAGAGCCACCCAGCCAGGCACCCCGCACAATTTAATATTGTTAAAAGGCTTGATAAAAATCTAGAAGAATTTTTTTTTTACATACCCTGTCCCTTGTTAGCATCTGAGCTCTGTTTTTGTGCACAATTTTGATAATTCCTGGAGGCTGAACCCATGCTTCACCATCCACCTGCACTGGGACGCCCTCATCACCAAATATAGTGATTTTTACTGTACGGCACTGAAATAAAACAAGTTATTTTAGAGAACAAATTGTCTTGAGAAACTGATACTCAATCTGCATTCAGCCTTCATTCCGTGGAATGGAATGTATGTTTTTCCACTTCTCGTGACACAGTAACAGCTGACGTGACAAGAAAGTTAACATCTTATAGATGAACAGACAGCATAGGAGTCATTTGGAATAGCTTCCCCAGTGGCCCAAGTCATGAGGTCAGGTTTGCTCAGAGAAAACCAACCTGAGCTATTCGATGATGCTGCAGTTTAATGACCCTTGAAACTGCCATTTGCATGCTATCAAATATTGCAACGACTTCCAGGATCTTGTCATCAAATGATGGTGCGGCAAATATCTGAAAGGAAAAACTACATTATTACAGTTCCCCGATAAGGTTAAGGTTTAGATGTAGTGATACATCAGCAACGTAAAACTCAGCAGTATACATATTAAAAAAAAAACTTATGAAAATAGTAAGAAGAAAAGTATGTAAAGATTATTAGGGGATCCCTGGGTGGCGCAGCAGTTTGGCGCCTGCCTTTGGCCCGGGGCGCGATCCTGGAGACCCGGGATCGAATCCCACATCGGGCTCCCGGTGCATGGAGCCTGCTTCTCCCTCTGCCTGTGTCTCTGCCTCTCTCTCTCTCTCTCTCTCTGTGACTATCCTAAGTAAATAAAAATTAAAAAAAAAAAGATTATTAGGAAATGATAATCTAAGGACAAAAAAACTCCACTGAAGATGATTTAATGTAAACAAACCTCATAAGAAAGGTTTAAAATCCACATGGATAAATGTTCATGTCTCTCATAAAGCACTCTTTGAACCAGTGAACTATTATATTTCTAAATAATCCATCATGGAAAAATAAATAAATACATAATCCATCTTGATATAAAATGTATTAAATATCTGTTCACACATAACTCAGGTGTCTTGAAAAAATGGTGCATGTGATTTTAGGAAACCTAAAATACCCAGTTCCCTTGGTATGTTCTAAGGGGAATCTTCCAATGTGTTACAAGCAATATGTATGTATAATGTCCTTTGTATCTTAATACAACAACTTTTTTAGGGGATTTGAGAAGATGGTGACAGACATCTCAAAGAATAAAAATAACACAGGCTTACTTTGTTTTGATGTCAAATGCATTTTCACAAAGTTAATTTAATCAAACAATTGAAATTCTGGCTGTAATACTTTGTTCCTTTTATTCTCCCTTTGAGTATAGGATACACAATTATGTCTCTGAAAAAAATTTATTCAGCATAAAGTAGTATCCTAAGCAAAACTTCCGTTGAAAATATCAGGATATGAATTTCCAAACCTTGATGATTCCTTATCATTTTTGTTAGCAGGCTGCATGGTTTCAAATCCTGTCTCTGCTACTTCCTGTGTGAATTTAGTGTCAGTTTCTTCATTGGTAAAATTTAGATAAAAATTGTGGTTGTTAATAATGAATGTGAAGTTCTCAGAACACTATCTGATTACCTAGTGGGCGTCGTGAGCTTTATTTATCTTTATCTCACTGATTTCTTCCCTTTAAAATATTTAAGAATAGTTACAGGCTGACAAAAAAATTAACAGCTAATGTAAATTTTATTGTTCAATAGGATTGGAATATAATCATATAATGAAGATCACAAGTACATTCCAATTTATTTTATATTTTAATCCCTGTCAGCTCATTTCAGAGCCGTGCAAAAATGGGTCAGTGAGAACTCTTATATTATAAACCTCAAATAAAAGGGGCTATCGTTCCATACGTGTGATTCTTCAAAGACTGTGATGACCCCTCTTTATTGTGATGTATATCTTAATAATTGTTCTTTCTCTTTCATTTTATTATTTTTAAAACATTAATTAATTACATTAGTTAGGTGTGTTTTCTTCTTTTTAGACTCTCCTGCGGAAACATAGCCCTAAACATCAAAGGCCAAATGGACCCTCATAACATTTCTAAAAATAAAAATAATAGCCACATAAATTTAGAAAGTTAAAAGTAGAAAAGGTATTTTGGTAAGCGGAATAAGGTCCGTCCACCTTCTCATCCCCAGAATGTCCATGTTCTAACCTGGGGAAGTTGTGAATGTTACTTTACATGGCAAAACAGACTTTTATAGGAGGGACCTTGAGAAGGGAAGATTATCCTGGATAATGCAGTGGGATGATACATACTCTTCAATGTAATCACAAAAGTCATTGAAAGTGGAAGAGAAAGGCAGTAGGAGATCAGAAAGGGCAGACTCTCAGCCTGCTCTTGTGGGCTTTGGCAACCAAGGAAGGGGCCACGAGCCAAGGAATGTGGGCAGCCTCTGGAATCTGGAAGGCGCAAGAAAATACTTACATCATCCTCTTTAGTTCCACCCCAAAAGTTAGTGCCTCCTGCATAGCTGGGAATGTTCAACACTGCTATTCCTTGCAGACTGGGGAGAGGAATATACTGCCCATCACACTGTAAGGTAAAAGCTTAGAGGTTAGATAAAAAGAGCAAACTTGGGCAGCCCCCGTGGCTCAGCGGTTTAGCGCCACCTTCGGCCCAGGGTGGGATCCTGGAGACCCAGGATCGAGTCCCACATTGGCCTCCCTGGATGGAGCCTTCTCTCTTCCTCTCTCTCTCTCTGTCTCTCATGAATGAATAAAAAAAAAAAAAAAATTTTTTTTTTTTTTTTTAAAGAGCAAACCTGCTAGTTGGGAAGCCACCACAATATACCAAAGACAGAGGGTGCTGGAGGGAAGTGGTCATGTTTGCTCTCCTGTAAATATATTCCTACAGATTACCTTTATCTTATAAAATATAAATCACTATAGCAGAAGTTGTTACAGAAAACTAACTTAAAATATGTTTTATCTCTTCTTCCTGCCAAAATCAGGCAGTACTTTTCTGGAGTCTTTTCCAGGTCACTTATACTATTCTCACTTGCTTTTTTGTTTTTTTTTTTTAAGGTTTTATTTATCTATTCGTAAGAGACACACAGAGAGAGGCAGAGACATAGGCAGAGGGAGAAGCAGGCTCCCTACGGGGAGCCTGGTGTGGGACTCGATCCCAGGACCTCAGGATCTCATCCCGAGCCAAAGGCAGATGCTCAACAACTGAGCCACCCAGGCGTCCCGCTATTCTCACTTGTATTATAGTCATCTTAGTGCTTATGTTAAGCATTTTTTTTGAAAACAGGTTCAGGGAGGGCCTCTGGGTCCTAGCCACCTCATCTACCAGTGGCTGGTCAGAGTCAAAGCTAAGTTTCTCAAGTAGTCAGAACCAAAACCAAAGAAAGAAAAACCATGCATGTCAGGAATATCAGGAAGATACTTCTTATACTCTGTGTCTTCTACTTAATCACTTAAATGGAAATTAAAATTAACTTTTAAATAGGGAAAAATATCATATGGCTGCTGAGTAATTATACATGACATGTAAGTAAATTCTTACTGAATAGAAGGTTTAGTCCTTTGTTTTAAAAGAGAAGAGCTTGCAGATGTCATACTTATGATAGATACTATATTTTCATTAATTCTTACAATAAAAGGAATTAATAAAACTTTATAAAACTTGCATTTACTGCCCAATCGAAATGATCTCCAATTTTTAGAACAAATGAAAATCCAATTTCAATCCACTTTTCAAACATTTTAAATAACTGAGAATATTTTATACTTTATTGTATTCCTACATGCATTTTTTTATATTTTATTTTCTTTTTCATAGAAATACATTCAAGAGTATAGATAGAGTATCCCAGCATCTAGGGCCATTTCTGGTACACAGTTAGTGCTCAATGTCTATTTGTTAAAATGAGCAAACACGGAGTCCCGGGGTGGCTCAGTTGGTTGAGATCTGCCTTCGACTTGGGTCATGATCCCAGGGTCCTAGGATCAATCGAGCCCCATGTTGAACTCCCTGTTAGTGGGAAGTCTGCTTCTCTCATTCCCCCTCCCACTCATGCTCTCTCTCAAATAAATAAAATCATTTTTAAATAAATAAATAAAATGAACAAACATTTTTAGTAGAATAATAAACTTTTTCTGAATCCAATAAATTGAATGGGTATCTTTGTGTGCTTTAGAACAAGCTGTTTAAGTCATATAACTAACTTAAAGGAGATGGAAAAAATGCCAGTAACATCCATCTTAATTTCATAGCTATGATAAATGAAACCAGCTGATCATGTGGCTGTGCTCTAGAGTGGAAGGTATAATGAGTTTATTTTTACTAGGCCATTTAGTTGATAATGAATGAGCCAGGCACTTCTGTAGCCCACATTCCAGTGTTAAGATAACACCTAAAATAATAATGTTCTGTTTAATTCTATGAGCTATAGACTTAAGATTTGCACACTTTTCTGAACATAGGCCACACCTTAATTTAAAATATCTGGTTATAAAAATATACAAGATAGAAAGACATGTGTATTAGCATAAACTGTGAATACTGGACCAAGGGTGAAAGAAAATAAAATTCACAGAAGTTAGCAGACTTTTCAGAGCCATGTCCCCAACCTTCTTTTTCTGGTTAGTGGAAGAGATTAAATACCTTTTGGTGTCCTTAATTTCCCCTTTAAGTTAGTAAAAGCTACTAAAAATGTAAATCTCTTTTAATTTTACTATTGTTGGAAATAATTGGAACAAATATACATCTAAATTAAGAGTCTGTTTACTATGAATGTTTTCAGGGATTTGTGAAACCTCAGGCATTATAAAATTGGGTCAGAATTTGTACACTTAAATGAAAGAATCTGTGAGAATTCGTCCCTAATGTTCTCCTATAAATTTTCTCCCATAGCTCTACCTTCTCATAGAGCACCATGATACCACAGAACCAACCAAATTTCTGGAGCTAATGATACTGCTAATTAAGTGTGTTGTTCATATCCAATGTCTATGCCATCATTCATATAAAGTTGATAATTACCACCACTGAGTGTTTAAACACTTAAAGAGGCATTGAGGCTCTACAAATTAGCTCTACATATGAAAAATTATTTTTCTAAGATCATCTGAAATTAAAAAATATATATATCATCTGAAATATCTTGACTTCGAGATGAACTTACCTCAAGTTGAACCCTCTGTTCTAAGTTCTTATACGATCTCTGTAATAACTCCCGGGTTCCAAGGACTCCATACCACATCAAGTTTTTAGTTCGGCTCCTGAAATAAATATTGGCAGACAATTCAATCAATAGCTATTATTGATTTACTCTTTAAAGGCAGAGCGAGCAAAAGAGCTAATAAATGAAATTAAAGTGAAATTACCTTCATGTAATAACATTATTACTATTACCAAAATTACCTGCATTTTTCAGGGTGCTCTTCTCTCTTATTATTAAATTCTAATGAAATTTTTGCATCTAATCCAATCCCAAAGTAATTGTTCATGACACATTTTTCTGAATATCCATCTCTGTGATAATAAAGAAAAGTATATAAAAGTCAACTTCATATTCATAACAACAATTACTATTTGCACACAAAATGGCACTTAAAAGCATTTAAGCTTCTATGCCTTATAGATGAGATAAAATATATTCCTGTTCATATACCATGCGCACAAGCCCAGTACATATATGTCATTTTTGGTACATATGATATAAAGGGATAGTCAGTAAGGCAAAGTGGAGACAGAGTCATGGTAATGCTTTTCTATTAATTGTAATAAAACCTCAGTCCTACTTCCTACATAAGCCCCTCACTACACACACAAATGGGAAGGCCTTACAGTCAGGTGCCAATGCTCTTTTTCTGATCACTAGAAAGTCGTCTTCACTTGTACTCTTATCAATGGATAAATATTTATCGCGCAGAAAATGACTAGGTCCAGTCCACTCCTCTGGGTGCTTTGGAAAGTACAAAGAAGTTAAAAATATGGTACTGTCTCTGAGGAGTGTCATCAGAGAAATGAGATACGAGATATAACAAAAGCAAAATTAAATATGTAAGTAAGAGTTCATATGGAACTGCCAAAAAAAAAAAAAAAAAAAAAACCCTGTAGTTTTAAGAAGGGAAGAGATCAATGTGGGCCAGAAGCTTCCTGAAATAAGTAAACCTAGAAACTGGATGGGGAAAGATGAGAGATTTGGCAAGCCTGAGAAGAAAGGGGGGAAAAGGAAGAGCAAAAGTATGGCTATGAAGGTGCCGATGAATACAGCATTCCAGGGGAGAGTGAACACAGCTATGCCTCATTTTACCAGAGGGTTGTTATCACACACAATGGGCTGGACAGGGCCTAGCTCAGGAACAGATCCTGAAAACCACTGGGTTTCAAGTGCACCAATGTACTCATCGTTACCAACTTTTGGAATTTTCTGATGATGCTTTTTGTATGGGGAACCATATTTCTCATAAGGTATTGACAATGTTACCATTAGTATAAAATAGAAACTAGAAAAGCCAAAACAAGGTATTTACAAAAGTATTTTCTTACACTGAATCTGGGTCTGGGTCAATAAATGGCGTTGCACCAAAAGGATCAATATTTGCTAGCAACATTTTGTTGATAATAGAACTCCCAGCAATCGAGGCAGCAAGTCCTGCTCTTAAACCTGGCCAGAAAAATAAATACACAGAGGATCACATATTAAGAAAAAAGACAGAGAAAGAGCCAGTGCATTGTTTTCAGCCCCAATCTCAGACACTTTGCCCCAAAGCATGGTTTTCAGTGTCTGCTCTTTCCATTAGTCAAAACTAAGAACTATGTCATTGGTAATTACAAGAGTTTTGATGCTTCTTAGGATCTATATGTTGTTATAAAAAATGCAGCAGATTAAGACCCAAATAAGAGTCTCTTTGTGACAGTTTCTCATTTACCATTCTGATGATTCTATAACTTAAACAAGTAAATATTACTTCCTTTTTTAAGCAAATAAGGTGGTAAGTCTGTAAGGAATTTATAATAAAGCCTGATTACCAAGAATGTCATGGAGTTACCACTTCCAAACTCTTGAAGCATAGATAATAACAATTAAAAATATTAACAGAAAAAAACAACAAAAAAAAAACAACAAAATATTAACAGAAGGGTGTCTAAGTAGCTCAGTTGGTTAAGCATCTGACTTTCACTCAGGTCATGATCTCAAGGTCCTGGGATCCAGCCCTACATTGGGCTCCCTGCTCAGCGGGGAGTCTGCTGGTCCCTCTCCCTTTTTCTCTGGTCTCCCCCTCATGCTCTCTCTGTCTCTCTCTCAAATGATAAACAAAATCTTTGGAAAAAAATTTAATGGGTATACTAGGTGAAAACTCAGTGTCGCATTATCTTACCTCTAAAAATGTAAAACTTCAAATTTATTTCAACAACTAGTTAGCTTTCTACTAAGTAGTTACAATATTCAAAGTTAATTAATTTTATGATCTACCCAACCGATTATTGAGGCTAGAAGCATTAAATTCTGGAAAGAAGACAAAGTAATAGGGGCCTACGGGAACAAACAAAAAAGGAAAGAAGAGTGAAGAAAAATGTGTCATGGAATTGAGAAACACTAGGAAATTAGGAAAAAAGTCCTTCTTGAGCAAACATTCCTTTCCTCAACTGTGTGCTCTTCTTAGAAGATTATTATTTATTATTTTAGCTACAAAGTTTAGCTGGGTATCAAGTCATCAAGATGAATTTTATTCCTTCATTTAGTTTCATAGTGTTGAAATAGGCTATGGCATACTTAGTTATGCCAGTTTCTTTTATGTCTGAATAAGTAAACAAAACAGCTCTTTTTAATGGCTAACAAAACCACCATTCTGGGGACACCTGGGTGGCTCAGCGGTTGAGCGTGTCTGCCTTTGGCTCAGGGCATGATCCCGGGGGTCCTGGGATCGAGTCCTGTATCAGGGTCCCTGCAGGAAGCCTGCTTCTCCCTCTGCCTATGTCTCTGCCTCTCTGTGTGTCTCTCATGAATAAATAAATAAAATCTTAAAAACAAAAACACACAAAACAATCATTCTGGTGAGAATAAAAAGAACAGTTTGCAGAAGTGAAGAATCAGACTCCAGCTGCCCTATGGAAAAGTATAATATTTTCTGTTTTAAAAGCTTTTATTTTCATTTATTTTAGAAAGAGAGAGAGCACATGGGGAAGGGGCAGGGGAGAGGGAGAAAGAGTCCCAAGGAGACTCTGCCCTAGGCATGGAGCCTATCCTGGGGCTCGATCCCACAACCCTAAGATCACGCCCTGAACCAAAACCAAGAGTTGGATGCCTCACTGCTCCACCCAGGTCTCCCAAAAGTATATTTTCTAAAATGTTTTAAGGTTAGCCACATTCACAGGTTTAACCCAAGAAGGTCAACCCACTATTCCAGGTTTAAATAGAGATATAACCTCTAGACATGGAGTCCTCCAGACCTGTTCTGGATTTATCCTTTATTATTTTAGTATTTCATTAAGATACAATTCACATAAGATTCACCTTTTAAGTGAGTGTATAATTCAGTTGTTTGTAGCATATACACAAAGTGTGCAATGATCACTATCACCTAATTTAGGACATTTTTTTTTTTTATTAGCCCCAAGAGAAATCCCATTCCCGTTAGTAATCATTTTCCTTTCCCTCCATTCCCCACATCCCCAGACCCTGGAAACCACTAACCTACTTTCTTTCTTTACAGATATGACTACTCTGTACATTTCATATAAATCTAATCACATAATATGTGGCTGTTTTCTCAAGCTTCTTTCACTTGGCATAACATGTTCAGAGGTAATCATGTTGTAGCAGTTATCGGCACTTTGCTCTTTTTAATGGCTAAATAATAGTCCACTGTATGGATATTGCACATTTTGTTTTTCCATTCATCAACTGGTGATTATTTGGGTTGTTTCTTCTATTTTGCTATTATGAATGTGGCTATAAAGTCACGTACAAGGTTTTGTGTAGACATATATTTTTAATTCTCATGGATCTATAAACTAGCAGTTGGTTTCTGGGTTATATGTTAACCCTGTGTTTAATTCTTTGAGAACTGCCAAACTTCTTCAAAATGGCTATACCATTTTATATTCTGATCAGCAATGTATGAAAGTTGCAATTTTTCCATGCCCTTGACAATATTTGTTATTATCTGTCTTTTTTGATCATAGCCATTCTGGTAAGGTAAAGTGTTATCTCATTGTGGTTTTGATTTGCATTACTCTGATGACGAATGATAGTGAGCATCTTTTCCTGCGCTTATTGGCCATTTGTATATCTTTCTGGAGAAGTGTCTACTCAGATCCTTTGCCCATTTTTAAATTGAGGTATTCGTCTTTTCATTGTTGAATTTTAAGAGTTCTTTATATATTCTGAATACTAGTTCCTTATCAGGTAACTATTTACAACTATTTTCTCCTGTCCTGTGCATTGTCTTTTTCTTTCTTTCTTTCTTTCTTTCTTTCTTTCTTTCTTTCTTTCTTCTTCTTTCTTTCTTTCTTTCTTTCTTTCTTTCTTTCTTTCTTTTTCTTCTTTCTTTCTTTCTTCTTCTTCTCTCTCTCTCTCTCTCTCGTTTTGATTTTTCAGAGAACAAAGTTTTTGTTTTTTTGTATGTTTAGACTAGAGAGAACATGTAGGGGGGGAGGGCCCATCTATGGAGCCCAATGCAAGGCTCCATCTCACAACCCTAAGATCATGACCTAAGCCAAAATTAAGAGTAGGACATTCAACTGAGCCACCTAGGCACCCCAAAACAGGCACCAAAAACAAAGTTTTACAGGAAGCCACAACAACCCACAATTTCCAAAAAACTAAATGTATTTTGGATGATGGCAGATTATTAGTTCATCAGACCAACTACCTCACCTCACTTTGAGGGCAAATAGAAAAGCTAAGCAAAATGTAAAATGAATTCATTTAAAGATCATTAAAGGGGTAGACCAATGACAGGAGCTTACCAGCCAACTATTAGAAAAGGAAAATGACTTAGGTGAGCCCAGGACTTTTGGGGTAGGGTTTTTTGTTTTGTTTTTTTAACTTTTTCTTTATTTTACTGTGAAAACTTCAGAACACTTAACATGAGATCTACCCTTTTAACAAATTTTTAAGTGTACAAGGCAGTATGTTAACTATGGGAACAATGTTGGACAACAGATCTTTAGAACTTATTCCCCTTCCTTAACTGAAAATTTATGCATGTTGACTAGCAATTCTCCATTTCCTCCTCCCTCCAGATGCTGGAAACCACCATTCCACTCTATGATTTTATGAATTTGACTATTTTAGATACGTCATATAAGCAAAATCGTCTAGTACTTGTTCTTTTGCAACTGGATTATTTCTCTTATAATGTCCTCCAGGTTCATCCACGTTATGATAAATTGCAGATTTTTTTTAAAGCTGAATAATATTCCATTGTATGTATATACCATATTTTCCATATCCATTCATCCCTCAATGGACATTTAGGACATTTAGGTTGCTAACATGTCTTGGCTATTGTGAATAATGCTGCAGTAAACATGGGAGTGGGAGTGCTAGTATCTCTTCAAAATTCTGATTTCAATTCTTTTGATAAATACCCAGAGTGGGATTGCAGGATGATACAGTAGTCCTAGTTTTAGTTTTGAGGAACCTCTGTACTGTTTTCCATGGCAGATACACCATTTTGCATTCCTACCAGCAGTATACAAGTTTTCCAATTTCTCACATCCTCTCCAACACTTGTCTTTTGATTTTTTTTTATAATAATCATCCTGAGTGGTGTAAAGTGACAGCTCATTATAGTTTTTAATTGGTATTTCCTTGATGATTAGTGACATTGAACACTTTTAACTAGTTTGGTGTCAGGGTAATACTGGCCTCATAAGTGAGGTGGGAAGTTTTCCTTTCTCTTCTAGTTTTTGGGAGAGTTTCTGAAGCATTAATGCTAATTCTTCTTTAAACAACTGGCAGAATTCATTAGTGAAGCAAATCGGAACTGGCCTTTTCTTTGTACAAAGTTTTGTTATAGGTCTAGTTGGATTTTCTATTCTTGAATCAGTTTCAAACTCCAATGTTTCTAGGAGTTAGTCCATTTCGTTGAAGTCATCTAATTTGTTGGCATGTAATATTTGATAGTTTCCCCTTATAATCCCTTCTGTATCTGTAAGGTGGTTAGTGATGTCTGTCTTCTTTCATTCCTGATTTCAGTAATTCAAATCTTCTCTTTTATTTTCTCAGTCACTCTAGCTAAAGGCTTGTCAATTTGTTAAACTGTCCACAGAACAAACTTTTGGTTTCATTGATTTACTGTATTGTTTTCTATTCTCTATGTCATTTATTTCTGATTGCTTTGGGTATATTTGCTCTTCTTTTTCCAGCTTATTAAGGTGGAGAACTAGGTTTTGAGATCTTTCTACCTCTTTAATATAGGCATTTACAACTATAGATTTCGCTCCAACACTTCCTTAGCTGCATCAAGTAAGTTCCAGTATGGTGTATCTTTGTTTTCATTCATACCAAAGGATTTAGAAATTCTCTTGTGATTTTTTTTTTGACCCACATATTTCCAAATATTTGTACACTTCCAAAATTTCCTTTTGCTATGGATTTCTAAATTCATTCCATTGTGGTCATATTCCTTTGTATAATTTCAATCCTTTTAAATTTACTGAGAATTATTTTATGGCCTAATATATGATCTATCCTGGAAAACATTCCATGTGCATTAGACAAGAACGTATATTCTACTGTTGTGAGGTGGAATGTTCTATAGACACCTGTTAGGTCTACTTGTTTTATATGTTTTTCAAATTTTTTATTTCCTTGTTGATTTCTGTCTAGTTGTTCTACCCACTATTGAAAGAGCAATAATAAAGTCTCCAACTATTATTATTGAATTGTGATTTACCTTTAAAAAGAGCTTGTAGAACAAACTGGTTTTCAGGGTATAATCTGGGATTCAATCTACTCTGGAATAGATCTGGAGAGTTTTCACTAAGTCAAACAACCGGTGCTTGAGACATCTGAGACATCTATATTTTCCTCTTTCCCTGCTGCACATGTTCTTTGGTTTCCACTAGTACTAACCAAATCCCAAGGGCAACGCATCTCAGCAGAGCTGGAACAGATGCCTCAGATGTTCCAAAATGAAGCAATGTTACAATCCAAAAAATGAAAGACTTGTGGCTTTCAACTAAGAGAAAAGCTGTGGAGACACTTAACAGGCAGTGAAATAGAGGATCAGTTTTACCCTGGGTGCTTAATAAATGCAGATTCCTGGGCTGCATCCTAGTACTGCTCAAGTACTAGAGAATTAAAATTTCTCAGAGCAGGCCCCCAAAACATGTATTTGAGTGCTTTCTAGACAATTCTTACACACACACACACACACACACAGAGAAGTCTAAAGATGAGGAGTCTGGTTGATAAGAGTGATAAGTACATTTTCCCAAAGGGATATTTATCTCTAAGAACATATTTCTATAGTTCATGGAAATGAGTACTTAATTCGTGTTCACAGAAATACTTACAAATACACCATGTTTCAGAATCTATACTACCTGGGCAGATTATTCTGGTGTTGAGCACAGGGAGGTTTTCTTTGCCGGCTGCCACAGCTGGACCAGGGCCAGAGTCAGTCTGGAAACGAGTTGTCCGGCCATCTGGAGACCGAGGGGCAGGTGCAGTTTTAACTGTTAGCAAAATGTCCCAATTATAAAAAAAAAAAAAAGTAATGATAAAGTTATAAAAATAAGCAAGCCCTCATAAATTCAGGACACAAAATAATTTAATACACATTTAGGTCAATTAACAGAACTGAAAATATTATGTTGTGTTTACCTATTTTTTTTTTTACCATTGTTTTCACTTCGTTGAGATTTACTGTATGGAGGGATTTGGCCACAGGTAGATGTCCTGATAACTCATTTCAAACAGACGGAGATCAGTAGAAAATACAGGCCTAGCATAATTAAAGGTCAGTAATACTCCTAATTTGAATGTGGCTAACTCACATTCAAGGATAAAAAGAAATGCTAAAACCTGATGGATTTTTTAACTTGGCACGTATGTGTTATAATGTATACCACCAATGCAATCCTTTCGTCATAAATGTTGGGTGAATGATCGAATTTAATTAATGTAATTCCCAGAGCTAATATGTGAAACATTGTCTTCCATACATGAGAGGAAAAGTTTTTTTTTTCCTGAATGAAGCCAATGTTTCCTGCACTTCTCAATTAATTATATATTCAAAACAAAGATTTGCCCAAAACAGTTCTATCATATTCTTGTAAATGTTCAGTACATTTAAAAAATTATTCCAAAACAAAATTACTTTCAAAGCAAACAACAAAAAAAGAGATTTAATTTTGTCTAAACTAGGGCAATTTAATGGAGAGCAAATAGTATCATTAACTAATTTAGGAACTATTGGCAGGTGTTTAAAAAAAGTATTCCTCAAACTCAATTTAAAAATACTAAAAAATTTAATTATCTTTACTCTCCCTAAGACTAATTACAAACTAATCTTATTAATCTTACACTCTCTTCTCTCTCTTCAAAACAGTCCAGTTGCACTAAAGAAAAGCAGCAGAACAGCCTTTTTTTTTTTTTTTTGGACAGATGGGAGACCTGGGGCTAATTTCTAATAAAAACAACATTTGATATTCATCTCTGATAAAAACCAGAGAGCGTCCTAGTGACTAAGATTGATGTAACATTGTAGGTAACTAAATTAATGTTTCATGGTTCTTTTTTAAACATAACATCTCATTGATCATATTAATATACTGTATTGTACATCTCAGGCATATGAATTATTGCATAATTTAATAATATTACGAATGCTCTTCAAAAAGTAATGATTATTTAATACAGAAGTACTTCTATTGCTACTGATTCCCACTAAATTGGATTACTAGCTAGAAAATAAGATCAAATATTGCAACATTAAGGTATCAAATGTTGTAACACGTGTAAGTTTATGTCTATTTCAATATCGATATTTATAGCTGCATACCTTTCTTTTTTAGTTTTCTTTGCAGACTACAATGGAAGTGTTCAGTTCATGAAAATATACTAAGATGGATGGTAGCTGGTTGGAAAACCATTAGCAATGAGCACTAGAAAACCAATCCTCCAAAGAGATCATTCCTTATCTTAAGGGAAATTATTAAGCAGCATACTGTAAGAATGCCATTGTCAGCTCTACTAAGTCAGCTTTATTAATGGATGAAGGCATACAAGTCCTACTTATTAAACTCTAGATAAAGTAAATTTGAGATGATATAATCAAGCTTCGAAAGATTTTGACGGGATGCAATGATAGATCCAAATTGAAAAGATAAAAATTCATAAGGATGAGCATGTATGACTCTATCAGGTTTAAAAAGTCACTCGCACAAAATAGGAGGAGACCAGGTTTATATAGTATTACAGTACAATACTTCATGCCAAGAAGAAATCTTGGGTAGTCCTTATAACATAAAAAAATGTGCAGAAAGAGTAGTGTATGGCTATCAATTTGTTATACACTACAGAAATATTTGGAGGATTGTGTTCAAAATGGGGGATCATATTGACCAATTGAATGCAACCAGAAAAACTAAAAAGTTTGAAATCAAGTTAAAAATTGGTAAAAGAATTTAGGAGATAATGTGAAAAAGATAGAAGGTGTGGGAAGAGGAGATGATGCCATGAAAGCTGTTTTCAGAATCATTTAAGGGCTGTCATGTGGCAGATTTATCTTCAATACTGTGAAGAGATATATGAAATTGCTTTGAAGCTACCCATAAAGCACCAAATGTCAGCAGTTGTTACTGTTAACATTACCATACATGAAATATTATCAATTAGTGTGCTGATGGGTAGAAATTTAAGGAAGAAAATATAAAGCCAAATATAAAGAAAAGCTTTATAACAAATAAAAGCTGATCTTAAGAATGGGATGTATTGAAAGTGAGTGGTGGGGTGCCTGGCTGGCTCAGTCCGTAGAGCTTGCGACTGTTGATCCTGGGGTCGTGGGTTCGAGCTCCACGTTGGATGTAGAGATTACTTAAAAAAGAAAAATAAAATATTTAAAACAAACCGAAAAAAAGAAAGTGAGTAGTCCAAAGGCTCAATGCCCATCTGTCAAGACGATTATCAAGTATGTCTGTACTGGATTATATGCTGCAACAGGGACCTTTAAGGTCTATGAGGTGTAAGGTTAGAGAGCTAGGTTGTGTGCAGGAAAAGGCACATATGAAGCCTAAAAGGGCTCAGGGTTTAGAATATGCATGCATTGGTTGTATGCCAGACAGGTGAGGTCTATAAGGTCTACTTCCAAAGTTTCTAAGAGTTTCACATACAGTAAGGAGTACTCTTTCAAAGCTAATGTAATTATAGCAGCAGCAGTGGAGGGAGTAGTTAATAATAGTGAGAAAGACAGCAAACACTCCTTCACAGCACTATGCACCACACACTATTCTAGGTGCTCCACATACATCAACTTCTCTAACCTTCACAACCAGTGGGCACGTCATTATCACTATTTTACAAACGACGAAACTACAGAGAAATTAAGCAATCTGCCCAATTGCATTTGTAACGAAAGTAAAGTAAAAGTTTAATGATTGCTGTTCTTATTTAACAGTGTTGACTTTTCACTAGGACTATGCAATTATTTTCATATTATCTTCTCGGCCTCATTAATATTTTAATTTCTGCTTTGCTCTATTCTAGTCAATTAATAAGTATTCCATTATACCATGTGCAATATTAAAAGTATAAATTTATCTTCAAACTTAAAAGGTAGAGGCATAATTAATCTTCAAGTGACTACATGTTAATTTCCTGGCAAAAATAATTTCAGTAGAGACAGGGCTGTAATTAGATGTCCAGTGATATTGTAGATTAATTTAGCAATTAAGAATTAGCAAACTGTCCAGGCTGATCAATGGGATCCAAGGGACTGCTAAAATTATTTAAGTGGCAAATTTTGTGCATGTGCAACCTGCAGCTTTCACGTAATTCTCAAAGGCATCTGTGGGCTAAAAACAGGTTAAAATCTGTTGATTTAGGTGTTTCTTCCTTTTTCCTCAGCAAAATTAAGATATTTAGCCATTTTGGTACCATAATCCTTAGTTTATTATGACAATCTCCAGGTTATAAGATAAAAAGGGATGAGAGTGTACTTGACAATCACCAAAATTTTACCTTTATAATTTTAGTATTCGTGAATATCTAAGCTTTAACATCTGAAAATCCTTGTTAAAAATACAAAGCTTATTTCAAACCAATAAGCCTTTTGAAAACTAAAAGCAGAATGGGATTCTATTTAATTGCGAAATAATTATAGTTTTCTTACCAGTTAATGACTCTTTTGCATCATCATCTTTAGATTCTTCTTTAGATTCATCTGTTTCTGTACTATCGTTATCAAATGACTGGTTAACTGGTTCACAGGGATGAATGGTCTGGTCATCCATAACTTTAAGTAGTAAGTAGGGAAATATGTTTGCACAAGTAAAAATAAAATCCATAAATATTAATATACGCTTAAAAAGTAAAATGAAACATAAAGCAAAAGAAATTCCATATTCACAAATAAACACTAATAAATCCAACTATAAGTTACAACCTGTAGTGTTTTCAAATATTAATTTTTTATATTAAAGTTAACTTGAGCCCACTACTAAAATTCTAAGAGAAGTATATACAATATATCAATAAAAAAAATTAAAATATAGGCAGAATCTTTATAGGCTTTTTTTTTTAAGATTTTATTTATTTATTCATGAGAGACACAGAGAGAGAGAGAGAGAGAGAGAAAGAGAAAGAGACACAGGCAGAAGCAGGTTCCATGCAGGAAGCCCAACGCGGGACTCAATCCCAGGTCTCCAGGATCCCACCCTGGGCTGAAGGTGGCACTAAACCGCTGGGCCACCCGGGCTGCCCTCTTTATAGACTTTTAAAAAGCAACATAAACATTTAGGAAATGAATTTAAGAAAGTATTTTCAAAGTAATTACAGGTTTGATTTTTCTTTAAGAACACAACAGATTCCAATGAGGTGGGCAGCCCAGGTGGCTTAGCAGTTTAGCGCCGCCTTCAGCCCAGGGCATGATCCTGGAGTCCTGGGATTGAGTCCCATGTCAGGCTCCCTGCTTGGGGTCTGCTTCTCCCTCTGCCTGTGTCTCTCATAAATAAATAAATAAAATCTTAAAAAAAAAAAAAAAGATTCCAATTAGGTGAAAGATATTTAAAATTTTTTAATTATTAAAGTAATTTTCAATGTTTCCAGTGTATTTTTATCCTTGAGATGTTAGTTTCTATATCATTACTGTACTGATCCCACTAAAACAAGAAATAGTATAAATTTCATTCTAATGGTTTCATCTTCTGTCCTGCCTAAAAATTGTGTGTGTGTGTGTGTGTGTGTGTGTACAGTCTGACCAACATGGAAATTCCATTGTGCTTACAATATAGGGATGGTGCTAACTTCAAAAGCTAATTTTGTTCATGGTACCTTTGCTGGCTTCTTCAATGACTTGCCTCACTGCTTTCTTTAAACTGTTTGCCCGCAACATTATTTCCTTTGGTTTGACAGCTTTCTGGGATGGAGGTTTCGCAGGGTCATCCACGAGTTGTTCTTTGCTTTCACACAAGGATTCTTCACTAGAAGATTCCACGGTATCTTCTTCTACAATGACAGAGCGGATGCCTGGGACAACGGGGGCGGCCTGGGAATCTGTGTGCAAGGCTTGAAGCAGCTGTTCAAGCTTTTCATTTAGGACTGAACACTATGAAAACAAAAATACGGTAATGAATTTTCATTTGGTGGAAATGGAAAAGGACAATTTGAGTGAATCAGTTCTGATTTTAGAGGAAAGATGCCTATATTAATATTTACCAATTAATTGGCTATCCATTATACATGATACAGCTTATAGATGAAATAATTTATCATTTAAAAACAAGAGCACAATTATGTAAATTTTTAGGTGTGCTTCTGGAATATCCCAACTCTACCGTCTTTGTATCAGTAGTTTTCCTTATAAGAAAATCTCTATCATCATTATACAGGTATTTTTCCTTGAAAAGAACAAACACTTCACTACAAAGTGACACATTCCACAAAAAAAAAAAAATTATGCATCTTACAAAACACTGTGTAAGCTTTTTTAAAAGTGATTGATGAATGGTACCATTTTGATCATCACAAACTGCAGGTCTGGCTGAGTCTTGGTAAGCTCTCCTTCAAAGCTTTGCTTGTGAAAGGGGTGAAAGGTGCCTATGGGATTACTGGCTCAAAAAAAAAAAAAGAGCAAAAAGGAAAATGCATAAGGATAAAGAAGAAAAAGAAGATGGAGAAAGCAAAAACCAGCACTCTGCCCTTGTTTCTGTCTGCTTCTCTCGAGTGACGAAGGGTAAAGAAACATGAAGGCCTGAGATGTTGCTACAACTGCCCTACTATAGCTTTTCTCACCACACAGATTCCTGTCCTTTCCTTCTCCATTTATTTGTCTTTGATGTCATGCTAAGACAAGCTACGGCAGAAACTGTTAAGAGAAAAAAATATGGAGGCACCTAGATGGCTCAGCGGTTGAGCATCTGTCTTTGGCTCAGGTCATGATCCCGGAGTCCTGGGATCGAGTCCCACATCAGGCTCCCTGCAGAGAGCCACCTTCTCCCTCTGCTTATTTTTTTTCCCCTCTGCTTATTTATCTGCCTCTCTTTCTCGTGTCTCTCATGAATAAATAAATAAAATCTTTCAAAAAGAGAGAGAGAAAAAAAATACAGCCAGAGAGGTATTCCATTTTCTGAAGCTCTCCATTGAATAGAAAAACAAGAAAGAGGCTGAAAATATCAAATGTTATGCTTCTTTCTATTTCCTTTTCCTTTCACTCCATGGAATTACCATCTACAGCATAAATCTGGAGATCATTCCTTTGCAAGCCCAAGAAAGCCAAACCTTTTGTAAGAATGCCCGGCCTTGAACATATGAAAGCAAAGAGAGTAGCTTTTAAGCTTCTTACTTTAGCCTCAGAAAGCTTATAAAGGGGGGAAAATCTATAAAGAAAAAGGCAAAGCAAGAAAAAGAACCCGCAAAGAGGCCAAGGACCATAATGTCTGGGGATTCTAAGGAACCATGCTAAGAGTGAGCCTGATGATCAGTTGGCCTGGAATCAGAAAGCCATCCCTCTCCCCCTACTGGAACACCACCTGCCCAGCATTATCCCCTCTGTGACCCCACTGTGGGGCATTTATCCTTGGGGATGCCAATCTGTGGGGCAAAGAGAGCTGAGTTACAAAATTCAGGATGTCGGATGGTCTTCAGCAATGTAGGTTTCCCACATATTCAAGGGTAACCATAAAATAGAATATGTTTTCGTCCCTCAAATCTGATTCAAAAGTAGTTTTTCTCTTGATTTAAGATGTTTTGGCAAGAAAGCCACTTAATCAATTTAGCTGTGAAACACAGTTCAATGTTAATGTTGTCAGCAAAAAACTTTCATGCCCTGAGGTGACCCGCTTACTTTACTGGCCATGGCATCGGCTGCAACGGTGTTTTCCAACGTTTTCTCATATGACTTCTCTACTTTAGCAACAAAGTCCTTTACAGTTTCACATAGTATCCTTTAAGGAAGAGAAATTGTGCAATTCAGTAAACCCTGTAGGTGGATTCAGTTTGATGTACAAACATATTTAACAACAAGCACAAACAGGTAAATTGCCAAAGCACAGGGACCATTTGTATATAAAACCCATACTTCTATCTGCTGTGTAACACATAACTAGGTAAGTTCAAGACATACTGAGTGATAAGTGGAAATGCACACGAATAAAGTGTATACCTTGTAGTAAGGTCATAACAAGCCTTTCTCAAATATTTAAATTAAATTATTGAGAAGAGTATTTATAGATCTCATTTTAATAAATTAGCATTATCTCCAGCACCTTACATATTTTCATAATAGAACTTGCGATGTTAAAAAAAAAAGAGGATTAATTTGTCACTTAATGTTGTTACTCTCACTCTCCTATTCATGATCTGTTATCTCAAAAGTATATTGTTCCTGAAGAAGAGATTGTGTAACCAACCTGGCACTTGAATTGAGTTATATTCTCCTTAAATCCATTTGTTTTATTCCCTTAAGATAACCTGCAGTCACATGCAAGACTAATTTAATTTAGAGCTTGTTAATGTCACAATATATGGTTTACTTGTTTGTCGCTCTTAATTACATTCAATTTCTTTGCAATAGAAGTAGATTAAAAGAAAAAAATAATATGAAACCTTAACACTAACTAAAATACGTCTTTCAAAAGTCTTTGGGACTGGTGCTGGATTAAGAACAACCCAACAGAACAGTATGTGACTAGCTTTTTGTAGCAAGAACTAATAGTGATTCTGAAAATAAAATCAGACTATTTTAAAATAATAATATTTCCCTTTATTATGGATATAGATTGAAAAATTTGAAGGGAAAAAAGTGGGCTCTGGCAATTATTTTTTTCTATTACACTCAACAATTTTCTCTGGTATGTGAGTGGCATAATGATTATGTTTCCAGATATTTAAGTATCATGACATCAAGCCATTCCATGGATATAGTACACCCACACCCACTCCAAACCTTCACATTTATCATCTCAAAAATAATTGCATTATTCCTAATAATTTTTGTTTTCTTTGTTTTTTTGGCAACCATTTCTAGCTTTTACTTGGACAAAAAGTAGTATTTCCTAACCTTACATCTCTTTGTTGGCTTTTTAAATTCACATATATTCAGAGACTCTACCTTATTATTAGAGATGCATTCATGTGCTTCACCTCAATTTTGGTCTTCTTTGTTCATGTACAGTACTTTTATGGAATATTTTGGAATGTTAAGGCACGCTGTCATTAAATTCCTTCTATGAACCTTACTGAAAGTTTCTCCAAGATGTCCCATCCCTAAGGAGAGGAGACACTGACAGTTCTCCCTCTTTATTTAACTCCGAAATAGAGGTTTTCATTGCTGTTATTACAACACTGTCTTAATAAAATTTTCTCCTGTTAAATGTGTGAAATTGCATATGTCATAACATTACCATAGCTACTTTTGCTGGTATTTTGCTAACTCTTAGGGACAGAGCCTGTTGGTCCATCAGCCTAGGAATGAAAGGGGCAACAATAGGGTCATGTTGCTCAGGCAGATGGAGGCGGAAGGAAGAGAGTATGACTGTGTTAGAAAATACTTGTCAAGTAAGTTGTGGTCTATCTTAGGATCCAATAAGTTTCATATTCCAGAGACATAAAATATTTAAACTTGTAATAAAAATTAACTTGCTATTACACCTAAATAATGTAGAATTCTTAAAACTGAAATAAAATGGACACCTAAACACGGCATGATTCAAAATCATACCACCTGTGAACCGGCAAATTGGAGAAAAACAATTTTAAGATGTATTTGCCATAGTAACAGGAAAGACATTCTCCACATGATACAGTTTTCTATTTTGATGCATAAAGATTTCTGGAAAACGTGCAAAAATCAAATAAGTGAAAGTGGAATGTGGATTTTCCCATAGAACTATAAAATTATATCTTAAATCATTGTTAGTCATAATTTTGACAAGATAATTTCCAAGCATTTTAATTCTTTTAGTTTTGTTCTCTTCCTTCCAAGTTGAGCACAAATACGCAGTTGCTATTGCACCAAATAGTCAGTTGAAGCTAACAACAGTCCATATTTAGCATGCTGGATGATTTCCACTATCATCACAACTATATTATTCATGAGATCTATACTTTTTATTACCAGTGTCAATATCATCATTTATCATTTTACCACTTATTTTTTTTAATAGGGATAAATGACATTATGCAAACACTACAGTAAGAAAAATATGGCAATGATGCCCAAACAGATGCACATATTGGCAGGCAGGGGTCATCCTCCGAGAATCTGAAAAATTAATTTTCCATCTTTTGTAAAAAAGTTCCAATCAGAAATTAAAGATGATTTACAAGTATCAGTGCATAATCTATAAAAACCCTTAGTTATCTCTGTGTTCCGAGGAAAGATTCTAACAACTGTGTATCTTACCTCATCTATTCAATGACAGAGGTTGCCTAAATTATCTCTAAATAGATACCAGATCTGAAATTCTGTGGTTCTATGGCAATAGTTCCAACCTTATTATTTTTTCTGGCTGATGATCCCATTTTCTTTTTTCTTTTCTTTTTTTTTTTTTTTTTTTGATCCCATTTTCTAAGAAGTTTTGTCTACAGAGAAAATTGGATTATTATTTTTATTATTTTTTATTAATAACACCCATAATTGCTAATTAATCCTTCTGATTCTCTGAAGGTAACTCATGTTACCATACCAAACTGACAAAATTTCAAAATCAAAGAAATGTCAACATTTTGTTGGTTAACCCATAGTAACTACATTAGTTAACCTACACACTAGCTATGTTAATGGATTATAGCTTTTCCATCAGTATTTTCAGCATTTTAAAAATAGTTCAAACAGCTTGGGCTCCTGGGAATTACCATTTCATAAAACAAATATAAATATGCACAAGATTGTTAAAACATCCTGCCTTAATATTGTATCATTTAACAAGTAGATGGCATTAACAAAGGAAGGGAATTCCATGTTATCTAGGTGATGGTTACAAGAATGTGTATGTGAACATACGTACGTTTATTCCTCTTTCTCATCACTAAATTATACCCTTATGATTTGGGCACTTTACTGTGTACATGTCATACCTTGATAACAACAAAAAAAATTTTTTTAAGAAGGGAAAACTATTATAGACTTTACAAGTCTTAAAGGGACATACAACCCAAATGCAATATGTGAATCATGTTTGGATTTTGATTTGAACAACTCAAAATAACTTTGAAAAGTTATTTTAAAATAACTTTGAAATAATTAGGGGAAATGGTATATGGGTTGAGGAATATATATGCTCTTAGAGAAGTATGACTAATTTTATTAGACTTTTTAATAAGATCATTAGGTATATACAGTGAAAGCAGAATAAAATAATTTCTGGGATTTGCTTAGAGATTGTAGCAAAAGAAAGTGGGAGTAGATGACAAAATTTTGATAATACTGAAGCCATGTGATGGGTATGGTGGGAAACCATTATACCAGTCTCTCCACTTTTATGTTTGTTTGACGATGTTCATAACAAAAATTAAATTTAAAATATATCACTGATAAAAATTTACTACATTTTGTACTTTCTTTTCTCTCTTGAACCTCTTTATGGAAAATCCTGTAAAATTTTAATCTGGGGTTATAAAGGCAGGTTGCTGGGCAGCCAGGGAGCACAGATGAGTGACAAGAGGGGGCCAGGGTTGGAACAAAATCTGTTTAGAGGCAAATGAGCTAGTCAGAGAGAAATCCAAAGCTAAAGCTAATAGTAGAGCCTAGACAAAGAGCCAGCCTTAGGTCAAAGAAAAAATTTGAATGTAATTGATTAAAACATGAGATGACGATACTATAATTTAATATAGCACTCTGTAGTTTACAAGCTCTATATTTATTTCATTACTCAATTTAATTCTCCCAACAGTTTCATGACGGAGACAGGGCAGGCACTCTTTCCATTCTTATGCTTAATAAAACAGACATAGGCCACAAAGCTACCAAATGGTCAAATCTCAGCTAGGACCTTAGATTTACTTCTACTTGGTCCAACCCTGTGATTTACAGTGGTTTTCAAGCTGTTTCCCAAAAATACTTCAAAGATTCTGCAAATACTTCATTCAGATTTCATTTAGAAATATAAAATATATTTTTTTACATGTTCAGTCATTGGAGATCTTAGACAAATAATATGCTAGCTTCAACATTAGAATTCTTTTTTTGTGCAAATCTTAGACTATATTTGATACAGTTTCCAGTTATTCCTATGTTTTATTTCAGTAACATGGTAATAAGGAAATTGTCTTTAATAGTCAAAATAAGATACAGAAATAACTAGAAACTGGATCAAATACAAAATTATAACTGTCATCTATAATCTTATTGCTTAATTTTTCTCATAAATGATTAATAATTTAATCCTGTCCAATTTATTAATGATAAAAATAGAATTTTACTTTTTTAAATACTGGAATTCTATGTAAGACTTTATTTAACAAAAGACAATGCTATAATAAATCATGTCTCAATTAAAAATATGTAAGATGTATAGAAGGCACTAATTAAACACATCAAACACATGAAGACTAAAATTAATGATTGCTAACTATGAAAGATGGCCATCTAAACTATGAAAGGTGGCCAGATAAAATATTTACTTGACTGCATCAAAGAATAATCCTTTTATAACTTGTTATACTTTTTCAAAGTTTCTATTTCAGCTTTCCATCTTCTCTAGCTATATCTTCTAAATGTCCTATTAAAAAAAAAAGCATTTGGTTCATAGACCAAGGGTGGCAAATGCAAATGTCTTCCTCATAGAAATAACTTAAGAAGCACTTAAGGAACGACTTTGGTATATAAATTTGTCCCAAGAGGGGGAAGACAATAGGGAGTGCTGAGGCCTGGGGCAAACATGACATATCTACATTTCACCATAAGGCAATCCACTTCATCAGAAAACGCCCAACCAAATGATAGCGACAGAAATCCAGCAGTAGCACTGGGCATCAAACACAAGAGTCTGCAGCCCACCTCTCTGCACAACCAGTGTGCTCTCCTGCCTTAACCTGCTCAACTCCTCTTCTATCACTCAGCCCTGTTTCCTATTCCTGGGGTTTATGGCATCCACAGTAACTGTCACTGCACTTATACTGTCACACGCAAATTTGTTTGAAATGATTTATCTTATCTTCCCTTGATTCTGTGCAAAGGAAGTATATAACATACACTAAAGTTGGTGTATTTTGCCTCCACCAATTCCCTAATCCCTCACTCTCCTTCTTCTTCTTTTTCTCCTCTCTCTGTGTAATAGTAGTATTTCCTAGCCCAGCCAGAATCCTAAAGCATACTTTTACCTTTGGCTTATCGGTTGAAAATTTCAGTGGGTTTCACCCTTTCCTCTAGTTGACTTTCTTAATTTCAGGACATCAGTATAGGATGCTTCAAAACTGAATTCTAAATTCCAGGCAGGCAGCATTTGGGATAATAAAATCAAGTAGCTCTGGCTCCATGTACAGAATCAACTTAACTAAAATCTGATAACTTTGAATTAAAATATAATTATGTAATTTAAACATGCTGATAAATGTCATTTTGAAAAATCTCTTCAATATCTTCCCTTTCCTGATGTAAACAGTTCCTAAAGAGTAGTGTTTATGGAAATAATAAACTGTAGTGAAATGTGTTTGCCATAGTATATTTAATCATCAATGCTTCTTTATTTTCTTATTTTTTATTTTATTTATTTAATTTTTTTAATGGAAATTCTATTTAGTTTACATATGAGTGTTCTTTAAGTACGAGCTTGGGCTAATTAAACTCTAAACACTTACCACACCATTCTGATAAAAAAATGTTTCAGCCTAGGCAGCCGAAAAAATCCCTCTAAATATATACTCTAGTGCAAATAAGATGCTAAAGTGATTTTTTAAAAAACCAAATGCAAGTTTAGTATATCTAATTCTGTAAGCTACTTCATAGGTTTTTTTGGGGAAAAAAATTACAAAGTGACATAAATGGTAGGAATGAGCGTTTTCACCATACAACTATTTCATGGCTTCATCACTCACTTGGCAGATGATATGATCACTGCATGTTCATCAGAATTGAGGATTTTTGTAAGATGAGCTGCAACTGAGTCCTCATAAATTGTCATCTGAAAACATAAAAAACCTACACTGTATTATCATTGCTGACATTCATACAGCTCAGTTACTATTTCTTCCAAAATGGGACCACTCAGGACACACATGACACAAGGCAATGACTATAATGAAATATATAAAAGAGTCATCATATGAAATAAATACTTCCTTTCAGTATAAGGCTTTTAGTTTCTGAAATTCCTTAATCTGAATTAAGTAGTCTTAAAAAAATCCATAAAATCCATTAAATTAAAAAAATGTTGAATAGCTGAATACATAAAGAACTCCTCCGAGTCGGCACAAAAAAGCAAGCACCAGATGACCCGATGAAAAATGGGCAAAAGACTAGAAGCTTAAAGAGGAAGGTATGCCAATGGTCCACAACCGATGACAGGTGATCAACCTCATCGGGCATCAGGCGAACACAAACTAAAACCACCATGCGGTTCCACTGTATCTGCCAGCAGAGCTAAAATGAAAACAGAAGCAGCAACCACACCTGGAAAGTGCCAAGTATTGGCATGGTTGTGGAGCAAGAGAACCCTCAGTCGCTGTTGGTGAGAGAGCAGGAGTTGATACAAACACTCCAGAAAACTGCTGCGTGTCTATCAAAGCTGAACATGTGCATATACCATAGGACCCAGCAATTCAATTTCTACATATGTATATGCCCCAAAGATATGTGATGTGCATTCAGCAAAAGACACGTGATAGAAAACATTCACAGAACATTCATTCGATAGTAGCATGGATAACAGATTGTAGCACATCTGGGCAATGGGATACCAGGGGGCAATGAGAATGCGTGATTTACAGCTCTGCTGCAATATGGATGAACGTTAGACATGATGTTGAATGGAAAGATTCAGAGAAAGGCTGCTTACAAAATGATTCATTTTATAAACACAGAAACAGACAAAAATAATCTATGCTTTTAGAAGCCAGGAGAGAAGCTCTTGGGGTGGGAGGTGGAGGATGAATGGAAGGGGTGCTGGTGATGTTGCCTTGTCTCGTGATCTGGGTTCATTTAGCTTGTGGAAACTTACCAATGGTACATTTATGATCTGTGCACTCTCCTGTATGTGTAGTTCAATAAAAAGTTTTTTAGAATGCTGAGTGCACTGTCATACAACCATGTATATAAACATCTCTCGGACATAATCAAAATGCTCAGGGAGCCCTATATCCCCCTTTCTGTTTGACTCAAAATTTAACATTCTATTGAAAGAACATACCTTCCCAATAAATAAAAATGTGCACAATATTTAAATAGCTTCAATTGAGAACCTTCCATACAAATTTTTGCCTCAAATATATACCACCTCATATGGTTCAAAAATTTCCAGTGTAGGGCAGCCTGGGTGGCTCGGCGGTTTAGCTCCTGCCTTCAGCCCAGGGAGTGATCCAGGAGACCCCAGATCGAGTCCCACGTCGGGCTCCCTGCATGGAGCCTGCTTCTCCCTCTGCTTGTGTCTCTGCCTCTCTCTCTCTCTCATGAATAAATAAATAAAATCTTTTTAAAAAAATTCCCAGTGTAAATCACATGCTGTGTTCCAGTTGGTCTCCTATGCTCTTCTGCTCTACTCAAATATCGTTCCATTGCTTCTTACCCATCAGTACCAGTTGACTTAGACTTAAAGGAAGATCCAATTACCCACCACCCCCCACAAAGCCTTCCTGACTAGCATCTTCCCAAACAGATCTCATTCCCGATTTCCATTCAGTTCCACCAGTGGCTAATCAGTATGTTACTCTTTTGAATTTCCACCTTACTTTTTTGACAGGCAGAAAGATGGGAGGGGAGGAGCCTCAAAGTCTCACACAATATTGTGTTCACTGGCAAATCCACTTCACTCATCTTCCAGTCTAAACATAAAAAGCTGCAACTTTGATAGTCAAGATCAGAAAAATGAAAATACGACGTTTTAAAAAGCAATGAGGGGAAATATTTTTCAAAAAAGATTAGTTTTAATTTCTTTTCCCTACAGGACAGATTATCATAAAGCCTAAGAATGTAAAGGAAATATTTTAAACTCTCATTAATTCCATTTGAATGGACATGTAAAAACCCAAGCTTTTGTCTGTCAAAAATAATCAAAGGCAAAAAAGACAACCACTTCCAGAGGAAAACGAAACAACCTCTTTGTCCAAAGATAAAATTATTGATGTCACTTATTAACCTACTGTGTAGTCACTTAGAGTCAGGAAGTTAAGGTAATAATAATAATTATTATTTTTATTCTATATCAGGCACTGTGATTAAGTATTCTGTATGTATTTATCCCATTAATTATCCTGTTTTACAGCCAAGGAGCTTCAGGCTCTGATGAGTTGAGCAATTTGCCCAAGACCTATAGCTAATGAAGAAAAAACCAACTACGGGACCATGTCCATGGCTTACCTACCATATTGCCCACCCCCCTCCAAGCAAGCCTTGGTCTTTATTTGACGGCATTTACTGAACATAAATTTTGTCATTTCTTAAGTGTATTGTTAACAACATAGTTGGGATCTCTATATCTCTCCTACTCCTTTCAAACCATTCTCTACTTCATGACACAGTGATTTTTTTCTAAAGCACAAATCTGATCATGCTACATTTCTCCTTGACACGTTTGAGGGGATTAGTCAAAACTCTTCAGCTAACATGCAAGACCTTCCAGAGGCACCTGGGTGACTCAATCTGTTGGGCGTCTGCCTTCAGCTCAGGTCAAGGTCCTAGAGTCCTGGGATTGAGCCCAGTATTGGGATCCCTGCTCAGAGGGGAGTCTGCTTCTCCCTGTCCCTCTGCCCCTCCCTTCTCTTGTGTTTTCTCTCTCGTTCGCTCACTCAGTCTCTCTCTCCTCAAATAAATAAATAAAATCTTTTTTTAAAAAAACATGCAAGAGGGATCCCTGGGTGGCGCAGCGGTTTGGCGCCTGCCTCTGGCCCAGGGCGCGATCCTGGAGACCCGGGATCGAATCCCACGTCGGGCTCCTGGTGCATGGAGCCTGCTTCTCCCTCTGCCTATGTCTCTGCCTCTCTCTCTCTCTGTGTGTGACTATCATAAATAAATAAAAAAAAAAGAAAAAAAAAACATGCAAGACCTTCCATAATTCCCCGGATTCTCCATGATCCAAACCCTCCTTCTTTCCTTTGCTATGTCTTTTGATGTTCTTCCCTTGCACAACATGCTCTAACTCAATGGTATCACTTGCAGTGTCCCAAATGTACCAAGGTCCTTACTATCAGGTTTTACGTCATGCTCTTTTTCAACTGGCTAATTCCCACTTCTCTTCTTTTGTGCTGAAAATCCAGTATAGGTACAACCTCCTCTGTAGAGACTTCCCTGAACTTGCCAGACTAAGAATCCTCTCTTATGTGCAACCATTATACCCTGAAAATAACTTAAACATAGCTAATCCTTTATTGTCTGTCCCTCCCACTGGAACCGAGATTCTCCAACTTTCTGGCCTCACAGCATCTTTAAACGTCTGAACGATTTTGTCACAATACCCCTAGGCCAAGAGGAATCCCTAACAGTAGGTAAATACAAACAACTTAATAAGTCCTGATGTCCTAACAACTTACTAGCCATTTGAAAAAACAGTAAGTATAATTTAAAAGAAACAACAGTATCTCATTGCATTCTTAAACAACTAGCTGTGAGCCTGGGGGCACTGTATACACCTCAAGCCTTAAAATCAGATTGGACAGTAACAACCTCATTTCCTACTCAACACTAATTTGTGTGGTGTTTGCTTTTTATCACAGTGACTACTAAAAACCCAAGCTTCACAAAACTATGCTGTCATCAGAAGAAAAGGAGTGCAACCTAATGTTTAAACTGTCCAGTACTTCAAGTTAGTAGTCTGTATGGTGTCTGACAGATGTTGAGTATTACAATTAAATTTTCTTTGAAATTTAAAACTATCTCACGGGAGCCCTCTGAGCTCACCGCGGTGCCCTGAGGCCACCATGGTGCACACAGTTTGGGAATTACCATTTCTAAACTAACTGAAGCAAGAGGGCAAGTCTTCTATGTCCACTCCCAGATACCCACGGGCATTTAATATTGTTAAATTAATGAAAAAATAAAGTTACAATATCTTACCATGCTGTTACAAAGCAGCGAAGAAACAGAAAGAACTGGGGGAGAGAAGCTTTCAATAAGAGTAAATTTAAAAACAAATTAATAGGAAGAATTTCATTTCCAGAGAGTTGAGGAAACTCTCTCCTGTTTTAGGGTAGTTGGTAGAGCTACAGCAGCTCACACCTTCTTTTTGATGACTTATCATTAATAAATAAGCATCTATTGACTAGTGTGATTGGGGTATGATACAAAACACATTAAAACTATGACTTCTGTATCAAAAAAGGTTTTTTTTTTTAATTTTTTTACTTTTTTTTTTTTTTTTTTTTATTTATGATAGTCACACACAGAGATAGAGAGAGGCAAGGCAGAGACACAGGCAGAGGGAGGAGCAGGCTCCATGCACTGGGAGCCCGACGTGGGATTCGATCCCGGGTCTCCAGGATCGCGCCCTGGGCCAAAGGCAGGCGCTAAACCGCTGCGCCACCCAGGGTTCCCTCAAAAAAGGTTTTAATCCAACTGGAAAGCAATAAGAATCTGGTTTCCAAGAAATAGATGAAGCCAGAGGGCTTTGATGCCAAGATGACCATAGTTCCAAAAGTGTTTGGTATTTAGACCAAAAATTAACAATAAGAATTTCTTTATTAACTGTCCACTTTGTGCCAGTCACGACACCAGATGACAATACAATGGTGAATGAATAACACATTGCCTGGTCTTGACAGTACAACAGCACCAAGATAATGGAAGGTGACAATGGAAGGGGGCTTTGGAACTCGTGAGGAAGGAGGTGGTATGAGGGCATAGAGGATGAGGGATGGCTTCTTAGAGCAAGTGATACCTGAGGTGAGGATAGACATGAACTGAGCCTAATGTCACTGGGGGGATACATACTCATTCGCAAAGGGGTAGAGGAGAAAAGAACATGATAGCAAGGGGACTTCACGTTAAATGTAAATAATATGTTTTCCAACATGGAGTATTAACAGAATCATTGTTATTAAAGGAAATCATGGAATTGTTGTTTTTGCTATGTTTAAAAATACAACAGCAAACAGAATTACTTAATTATGGCCATAAGGAATTAATCAATAAAACTGTCACAATTCTTTAAGCTCTGCAATTCTACGATGCCAGCAGAATGCTGAGTTAATAAGATAATTAGGAAGTTCAACCACATTCGTGCCCTTTTTAGGAAAACTGGAAAAATAATAATTTCACAATCATGCATAAAGGAATTTAAAATGAATACTTAAAAAAATATAAGCTGGGAAATTAGGTTAAGCCTAAGAAGGAAGGTTCAGCTTGCTTTTATTACAGTTTTAAGGGAAAAAAGTCACATGGTGACTAGTCGGGGGTGATATAGAACACTCATTTAACTTTAATCTTAAGGCATGCTATCCTTTTGTTATGAAATATTTTAATAAAAAAACAAAATAAATTAAGTTTCAATTAAAACCTTTTTATACTAAAAAAAGATTTTTTCCATGTAGTTAACAACCATATTGCATATTTAGCAACTATATACATGTAATAAAAATAAACTGTGTACCTTTATTTTATGTGCTAGGAAATAGACAACTCTAAATAGAACGAAATAATTTTTCCTTTTGTCCCTTTGGGGAGAAAATTAATAAGATTTACAAAAATACTAAAGAAAAAAGACTGGTTTCTATAAAAACACGATCATTTTATAGTTAGATAAAATAATACTCTAAGTAAAAATGCTGCTGAAAATAAAATAGTAAACATATTAATCTTTAATGGTAATTATCTTTGAGTGTCAGGGCTATAAGTAAGGTTATTTTTTCATATATTTTTGTCTTTCTGTATTTTTTAGAGGCAATTTTTGCTACCTTTAGATCAGAAAAAGGTGTTAAATTACAACTAGCTCCTTTAAGGAACAGCTCCATGTGTCTAGTTATCATTCCTTTCCTTTGTTTTGACAAGTTCATAATTTTCTTAATGAAGAAACAAAAACTTCAACTGTAAAATAAACAGATGAATTTTCCTAGGAGGAAAAGTAAATTATTATGGATTAAATGGTCTTGTCAGTCAGAAAATAATCCTTTGAAAATTGAGATCTGTTTCAATTCTCCAGCACTTTGAGGTTTAATCAGAACCCTGAATCTTTAATAACATCTAAAACTATAGTTATTACTGATCTGTAGCAGACATGGAATGAAGGGAGCTGTCTTTCTTCTTCTGTTTTATCTTGATCAACAGGCTTAACCTGGAAACTTGTAATGGTGAACCCTCAATGAGGCAGGCAAAGAAGGAAGAGAGAAATTATATAATACCCTGCCCGCAAGTATCGGTGTGTTTGAAAATTGCTGAGTTAACACCTTCTAGTCAGATAGGTGCCCATGGCCAAAGCAGCAGATGTGTAAAAGCTAAATGGGAACCTGTCATTGGCTGGTCTTCCCGGGAGCCCTGCTGGTAAAAGGAGGCAGGCAGGTGGAATAAATACTCAGGGAAAACTATCGGGGTGTGGAAAGGGAACTTGCATGCCTGGTGCTCTACACACATTCCTTAGTTTTCCTCATCCCAACACTGGGACCTTGCTCTACAGATAAAGTAGTGGCAGCCCATGACAGTGAGTGATGTGGCTAAGTTCACAGTCCCAGGATAGTGGTCATGGAAGGATTCGATCCTAGATCATAAGGATTCCTTCTTCTGGGGCAGGGGGGACAAGAAGTAGTCAATGAACCCACGCCCAAAACAATAAAAAATAAAATCAAGTAAATGTGCTACTATATCTTATACAGTTTTCTATTTTGTTCAAGATATTTACCCGTATCTCCAAATGATAAATAGGCAAAGGGTTAAAGTCTTACATAAAATTCTTCGGATGCTTCTGGAGGTTCTGGAAGTAGAGAAGCCTTTGGTGGCAATTTGAGTTCATAGGTCATTATACTCCACCTGAAGACAGAAAAATCTTTGGTCTAAAATTCATTTAAAATTTCATAAACTGACTTTGTTCTCACCTCATATGTATACATATGCACATATATGTGCGAACTATTGTCTCTGAAACAACCAAATATTTCTCCGAGACCATATAATGAAATAAGTCAATCGGAGAAGGACAAACATCATATGGTCTCATCCATTTGGAGAATATAAATAATAGTGAAAGGGAATAGAGGGGAAGGGAGAAGAAATGGGTAGGAAATATCAGAACGGGAGACAGAACATGAGAGACTCCTAACTCTGGGAAACGAACTAGGGGTGGTGGAAGGGGAGGAGGGCGGGGGATGGGGGTGACTGGGTGGCGGGCACTTAGGGGGGCACTTGACAGGATGAGCACTGGGTGTTGTTCTGTATGTTGGCAAATTGAACACCAATAAAAAATAAATTTATTATTTAAAAAAATGAAACAACCAAATATTAGAAATTTGGTAATCTCATAAAATGCTGAATTCATACTTTATGATTTCCATATCTTACCAAATCTCTGATGAGTGACTTCCGAACTTTTTAAAGGCCATGACCCACAGTAAGAAATGCACATATGTAACAAAACTTCCTCTTCTTTACTAGTGCAATGCATTCTGACTTTTCTCTTCTTTTCTGTTTCACTTTTTAAATAATGTTTGCTGCAATTTACTAACTGGATCACACAAATTAGTAATGGGTCACAACCCAAAGTTCTAAAACAATGTCCCAGATTAAATAAGTGCATAGAGCAATGAAAAATAAATCATTCTCTGTGTGCCAACCAGTCTTGCCACATCTGCTTATACATACATGAAATGAAAAGTAACTAAATATCCTTTCTTAAATTAAGAAAGAAAGCATGGGGTTGAGAAGAAAATATTAATAGAAATAATAATTTCTTAATACTTGAAGCAAATTTACTTCATGAGCTGTAAATATTAATTTCAAGCTCAACACTGAATCGTTTGGTATTAATGAAAAGCAATCAACTCCAGATAAATCCAGTCATCATCTAAATAATTTCAAAATTTGGGGTGTGTTATACTATATGTTGGCAAATTGGATTTAAATAAACATTTTTTTTTTAATGTGGGAAGAAAAGTAGGGTAGGCACATTACTGTTGTCAGTAACAGGGTGTGAAATCAAGACTTTACAAAGACACAAAGCACTGTAAAAGCATGAATCTTAAGAGAAGCATATCATGGCTGAAGCTAGTAATAGAATGTAGAGGAAAATTCCAAGATTAGCATCAGTATTTAAACAGAGCCTAATACATCATTCAAACTAACAAGTCTTGGCATAAAAATCCAAATTCCCAGATAATCCACCCCCCACCCAAAGACATAGTTTGTATGTTAGGATATATAAACCACATACTTGTAGCTACTCTTCATCTCTTGACATGAATATACTATCAAGGAATATATATTTGGGCACAAAAAGCCATTCATTCATTCATCCATGCAACTGACATTTATTGAACATTTCAAAATGACAGCATTCCTTGGTCTGGAAACACAATGCTGATTAAGACTTTCCAAATGAAGTTTAAATTCAGGTGCAGAGAACACATAAAATAATTAAATTCAGTGGATATCCAAAGAGGGAAAACCACAATTGGAAACATGAAAGTCAAGTTCCCTATAGTTGGAAATACTCCTCTGGTCAAAGGGCAGTTAAAGAAATGGGAAAGAAATCCACCTAAATGTCTGAAGTTTGCTGCACCTTCCATGCTGTACCTTCTCCCTTGATAGAAAATGGTTGGAGCTGAAGAAACAGGAGAAAGTGACGGTAAAGTCAGGGAAGGATGCATACTGGGACAAGCTAATCAGTTAGAGGCCAGGTCAGGCCCTATCTGGTGCATACATGCATTAGAGAGGACAGAGTGTGATGCTGAGGAAAGATCTTGAGAACTAGAGTCTGGGTTCCAGTTTAGAATGCCACTTCTAGGGACGCCTGGGTGGCTTAGCAGTTGAGTGTCCGCCTTTGGCTCAGGGCATGATCCTGGAGTCTCCGGATCAAGTCCCACATTGGGCTCTGTGCATGTAGCCTTCTTCTCCCTCTGCCTATGTTTCTGCCTCTCTGTGTCTCTCACGAATAAATAAAATCTTAAAAAAAAAAATAGAATGCCACTTCTACTACTTGCTATCTATGTGACACTGATACTATGAAAACCTCCTGAGCCATTTCACTAGTAAGATGGAGATTATAATGTGAGTCTTCTTTAGGTGTGTAGTGATGATTAAATGAGATAATACTTTATCAAGTAAAGCAACTAGAAGTACCAGGCAGACAAAAAAAAAAAAAAAAAAATTCTTCTGTCTCCACACACCTCGACTTTCAAATTTGCAAAACAGCCCTTAGCCACCTCACAGTGTTGTTTTGAGGATCAAATTGATTGAGAAAAACAAAAAGCTTGTGTAATTCGAATATTTCTCAAACAGTGGCTTTTTCCACCTGTTCTTCACCAACAGTATTCTTAAATTAGTAAAGAAAATGGGGGCAGCCCGGGTGGCTCGGCGGTTTAGTGCCTGCCTTTGGCCCAGGGCGTGATCCTGGAGTCCCGGGATCAAGTCCCATGTTGGGCTCCCTGCATGGAGCCTGCTTTTCCCTCTGCCTCTGCCTCTGCCTCTCTCTCTCTGTCTCTCAAGAATGAATGAATGAATGAATGAATGAATGAATGAATGAATAAATAAATAATAATAAATAAATAAATAAATAAAATCTTTAAAAGAAAATGGAATGAAATATTCTTAAATTTCTAATAATGGTTGAAGGTTCTTGAGTCCCTTTCGATGTCTCTCTTCTTTTGTTGTCTGCAGGTCTGTATCAAAGACTTCCACCACGGGGCCACTGTTTCTCTGCAAACGACCTGGAGAAGCTAATTTTTCTAACATACGAAGGAAAAGCACACACCTAGGGTAGAGGAAATGTCTAGGAGCATTTCCTGGGATGCAGCGAGAATGGTGTTTAAATTTGCAGCAAAAAGGTATTTAAAATACCTTGTGTGGTGTGGTAAGCACAGAATTGGGAAATCACCTCCAGGTTCTTTTAAGGACTGGAGACGGAATCCACTTTACGCACCCAAACTACGGGGGCATCCCTCTCGTGAATAGTTTTGGATACCCATAGACAAATGCTCTACAGCCCAGCTCTCTTTTTAAATATCCTGTCAGCAAAAGAATCAACCATTACATTACCTTATGACAGGCGAGGTTACAATTAATTAGGTTATAGCTCATTTTAGAGTAATTACATTTTAGATTGGTGGCTCCCTGATGAGATTTTGTTATTTTCGGGAACAGTTCCACAGATGGCTAATCCTATCAAAGTTGTTTTGATTCATGCTAGCTTAAGTTTATAATGATATTTTGACATTTGTCTTCTACTTAGGGTGGGGAGGGGTGGTTACTGCTTCCTGAGTCCTGTTGTTCCTAAATACAACCCAATCCTACCCACCTCCTCTATAATACTCAGGGTACATACACTGTGATTCCTTTTTTGGTACATGGGGCATTCAGAGAGAAAGAAGCTGAGATGTGATCAAGGATACTATAAACCCAGTAAAAATTCCTTGATGTGGTCTTCCTAATCTTTCCCAGTGACTGGGAAAGCATTATCTTTTTTCGTATTTGGCTTTTTGTTGGTTCAATTCATTCTTGATATGCATAATTAAGAAGAGATATTATAACAAATCTCAAGATTATATGTCTTCCTTAGCTTTAATGAAGCCACACGAGGATGGGGCCCAAACAAAATGAACTACTTAAGCTTTCTGACCTGAACAATGATGAAACATAATTGCTGTACCAACATAGCGTTCTATTTTTAAAATAGCAGGTTCATTAGACTAGTTTTCTCAGTTTTTGCTACAATTCATTCATTTACTCAAAAAATAGATATACTGAGTGCCTACTCTACACTGGGCTCTGTTCTAGACCTGAGGTGTGAAAAGGGTGGGTAAGACCAGGAAGTTTCTGTCCTCATGGGGCTTGTAGTTTGTAAAACTTAAACTGCCAAAAATGATTTCAGTGTGCCATTTTTAGTTTAGTTTCAGAAGAAAATTCACTTTTACCTGTCTAGCATTTTGGTACTGGCTCGTTCCAGCTTCTCTAGAATCTGCGGAAGTTGGGTGTCATCATCATATGAACCTCCCCAGCCTAGAACCCGGGCAAGATCATTTCCTGTACCCAAAGGCAATACTCCCAGCTGACACTGAAAGAGAGCACAACAGGGAGACCTCAAGCAAGCTGAGAAACAGGAGCTCTGATACTTCTGCACGTCTCTGGTCAGCAGACACTACATGCATGTTAATGACTCATGAAAAGATTGGGTACTTGCCTGTTTATTCAAGTTGAGCTTATCAATTTCTGACAAAACCCAACCTACACTTCCATCTCCTCCACACACAAGAATTCGGAAATTGTCAAACTTCTGGAATAATCTTAAACTGAAAGCAAAAAGTATTTTATTTTAATATAAATAAGTAAAAATCACATTCCCCAATTTTTTGTTATTCTGTGTATATATATATATATATATATATTCATGTTCAGATCAAATATAAGAACTCTTACATATTAATTATACTACAAAAATTAAGGTGCAATTTTTAACTCAAGAAAACTTCTTAATCATACAGAGGAAAGGGGATTATAAGTACAAATGTAGATATAATGAGGAGGAAAAAGGAGTGAGAAATGAGAAAATAAAAAAGCAGAATCCAGGAAAGAGAATGAAAGGTAAGTGGTACAACATGGTAAAATTAGTGATTTTTTTTCCCCATTACAAGGATATGTTACTTCCTTAAGAATAGCATATTACAAATCAGTGGCGGTGACTCTAGGACACTGATGTTACTGACACTCGAGTCAGCTCCTAAAGGGACCCACCAAACCTTAAAGACATATCACTTTTCGGACACCCACTTGCTCTTCCTCTCTCTCTCCCCCTAGTCTGGGGTCAGTCTTTTTACTTGTCTTCCTTCACGTTAACTTTTGACCCACCCCCACCTCCCGAATGGACCTATGTACCCCTCAAGTACTGTGGAAACTCTCAAATATATGTGATAGAGACAATCTCAAGAAGTTTCACAAAGGGCCTTCCTTGGAATCATAAAGGATAGGTGGGAAGAGTAAATGTTAAGAATATAACATATTGGAAAGATGAAGGATTATAAAACAGATGTGCTAGAAAACGAGACACACCCAACCAGCAATGGAAGGGAGACAGGCGAGCAGAGAAGCCAGTTGAGGAAATGCCAGGACCCAAATGGGTGGAAGGAACATACAAAGAGACGGTGGTGGTGGGTGGTGGTGGTGGGGGTGGTGGTGGTGGCTGGGGACAGATGATGAAGACCAACACCTATGGGACCAGAGGGCCTGAGACTTGGCAAGACGGCAATAGAAACAAGGAGAAAGAAACCTGAAGAGGGAAGTGAACAGAGGCACATACAAAGACTAAGGCAGGAGAGAGAAAAGGCGGGAAAATGTTACATTAAAAACAGAGGGCCTTGTCAGGCTAAGATCTCCATTGCTACGTCCATGTTCATGCTTTAAGGTGACAGTGGAAGCCAGGAGAAACGTGGAGTTGGCAGAAATAAGTCACGAAGAGGTTTCTGGAACCCTGTTTCAGGTGATACAATATCACCTCTTCAACAAAATCACATACACCTGCTATATAAATGTATTAAAAGTATCCCAAGGCATATTTTCCCTCACTGAAAATACATTTAGTTTTGTTTTCAGATTGTGAGAGGACATTCCAGAAAGTGGAGAAGAACCATCAACAATAGCGTTCTTTTGTGTCATTTACATAGGAATGGAGTCTCAAATCCTCAAAAAGCTGTCCTTGTGACCCACAGTAGTGCACTGGTTAAATAACTCATGATCTGGGATCCCTGGGTGGCGCAGCGGTTTGGCGCCTGCCTTTGGCCCAGGGTGCGATCCTGGAGACCCGGGATCGAATCCCACATCGGGCTCCCGGTGCATGGAGCCTGCTTCTCCCTCTGCCTATGTCTCTGCCTCTCTGTCTCTGTCTCTGTCTCTCTCTCTCTCTCTATCATAAATAAATAAATAAAAATTAAAAAAAAATAATTGATGATCTGTATTGCATAAAAACCAATGCTAGCCACCCATGCAGATCATTTTCTAGAGTCAGTGTATTTCTATATTTACACAAGTTGATCTCTCTTAGAACGAAGGAAACCGTTAATATTGTTTGTTGCAAGACATATTCTAAAATATTTTCTAAACAAATTTGGGGATTTTCAGCACATAAGGAAGTTATATAAGTATCAGAAAGGTGAAAGTAAAACTTAGAATGAGAGCTTTAAAAAGGGGAAGAGTGGGAAGATTACACAGAGATGTCTAGATGAATCGACAATCTTCACGAACTGAAAAAATCAAACATATTTCATGCTCAGTGCTATATTTCATTCTAATGAGATTTATCAATAATCGATTACCCTAAATGAGGACCTCCGTTCATTAAATCAAACACCTGAGCCGGATTTAGCAACTGTTTAAATCGACGAAGGAACTTTACTCCCTGATTATCTCCACTCTTAGAATTGACAAAAACCAATAGAGGACTAACACAGAATGAAAATGTCGCTCTACAGAAACCTGTAAAAAAACACAGTACAGGATCAATATGAACAGATGTCTCTTTTAAACTACTGATGAAACTTCAGAGAAAAGAACATAAATTCATAAAGAACCTTGTTTACTACATGAACAATAAATGATCATTTAACCCCCCAAATGGAGATAGATTATTTACATACTAAGACTATAGAACTTATCTTTCAAAATATGGTCTACAATGAAAAATCATACCAAAGAAAGTAAAAGTATTAGAGATAATTGAAGATACACTATCTACCTTAACAACACTTAATTATAAGACAACGATGACAATCTATAAATTCACATTAGTCAAAGAATTCATGTTCATATTCAGTATTACAAAATGTTTTAACTTCTCTTTAATGAGGCATTAGAAAATACTTTAAAATTTACCATAAATAATAGAAACTTGATTTATCAAGGCTTGGGGGGAGAGTTGTTAGCAGCAAAGGTTTAAATCACATCTTTTGCAGGTTACAGCCTTATATGTATAATATCTATTGGCATAATTTATGCAAAAAGTAGGAAAATCATAAAGCACTTTATCAATGCAAAATATTAATAACAGTATATGGTAAAAGCCTTTTGTAGTATGGTTTGCTTAGAAGGAAGACAGGTTGTCTAGCACTTACAACAAAGTTGAAAGATTCTGGAAAAACTTATAGGAATCTAAGTTCCTCCAAGGAAATTACAGGAAAACAAATTTCAGTAAGAGTCATGCTGGCAATTTCAATAATGGAAGGGAAGAAAGCACATAAAAATTAACCTTTTTGGATCTCATTTTGTTACAGAATAATGATCTTATTTTATTTGCTGAAATGTCAAATCTACAAGTCTTATATGTAATAATTTCACCAGTGTATTAATAGCTATGTTAAATTTTAATTTTAAAATGTTATTTTAAAAGTGAGATGTACTGTTCAGCAATTTTACTGGACTCCTATAAAAACTGACCAGAATAACCAATTACAGTTCCCTTTATTCTAGGAAAGTAAATGTACATATCAACATCTAATATACCAGGAACATACATATTTACACTACTGATACATACCATCAGAATCAGTGCTATTCAGTGCAATTGGAGGTATGACGGACACTTTACATTGGCCAAGGGGACACACAGGATGGTATAAATCTTTGCAGGCAGTGTGTACCTAATAACAAACAAATAAACCTTCAAGAATCATAAAAATATATCTATGTTTTATTATGGCATAAATTACATCTAAGGAACTAGTCATTGAGGATCAAGTATGTGAATTACTTTCATGGCACAGTATTTATAATTCTAAGGAATGGGCTAATTATCTTAGAGATGGGAATTTGATTTGGTCTGTGTAGCCTACTTTTGTGATTGTCTCGGGCAAAAAGCGTATAACAAGAAATTCCTGGTGAGTGGAAACTGGCTGGCTCAGTTGGTAGAGCATGCGACTCTTGATCTTGGGGCTGTAAGTTCGAGCCCTACATTGGGTGTAGATATTAACTTAAAAAAAAAAAAAAGAAAGAAAAGAAATGTCTGTCTGGGGAAGGCAAGAAGAGAGGAAGAGAAGAGAACAGAGTACAGGGGAAGAGAGGGGAGAGAAGAAAGCAGGAATAAATGGAAAGAGGGAGGGAGAGAAAGGAGGAAAGCTAACTATCTGTCACTATCATCGTCCATAAAAAACCTGTGACCTCTACTGTAACATTCTAAGAGAATTTAATGAAAATAAATAAAATCTGTAATGTGTCTGCTCTTTCTACAGTGGTCCTATAATTTTCTATTGACATGGGGTTTTTTTTCTATATAACATTTTCATGTTATTATAGGTATAAGTACATCTGCACCTATTTTCTCAGCTAGACTTCTGGCTCTGTAAAGAAAAGGAAAATGTGCTAATATTGCACACTTATCTTGGAAAGTGATACATATCATAGGTGCTCAGTAAACGTGTAAACCCTGGAGAAACAAAAAGTTTCAAGGTCAGTCAAGATATTATTGTGAACAAGAGCAGGGCTAATTTGTTAAGACGAACCCAGGGAATTTACAATAATTTACGTACTCACCTAGAGAGCCTTGAACCATTTTGAGCAGTAAGAGCAGACACTTCATAGAGTATTCATTTAATAAAGTTTATTTCATTAGTCCTTTTAGAAGACTGGTATATTAATTAAACACATATTTATCAAGACTTTTGAGAAAATAACTGAAATTAAATAGTGATTCTTGTTTGCTGATGACCTAATTTTGGATAGTTCCCTATTATTATTTATAATAATTAATGTCTCCAGTGGATTTCAGAGAAAAACAAGCATGCACAGATAGTTTTAGAAGGAATTTTTCAAAGTATGACAATCATAGACCAAAACATAAAAATATTTATGCCAATGTTAAATGAAAAGAGCAGAAGATAAAGTAGCATCTTCACTATTTTTACAAAAAAGGTAAAATTGTGTCCAGAGACTGGACAACTGAAAAAATTAGCAGTTGACTCAGAGCTGTGGAACTGTGGTCTTACTTTATTTTGTTTAAACTACATGACTGTTTTACAAACTAGATATTCCGTCAGAAACTCATTATTTTGAACACAAAATAATATGTAAAGAGGCAAATGACAGTGTATAGGAAGTACAAGACCAAGGAGGAGGTAACGAGGTGATGCATGTCCACCAGTCCTCATGCAGTCTGGCATGGAAGGACCTTCCTTGCTGTTGGCTCCACGTTATGCCATGCGTACTTTTCATTGCTTTCTTATTTGTGTGAGAAAGTTTTCAAATATTTATTGATATAATATAAACATATATAACTTAAATTAAACCAGTGCATGGCTGACTGAACTTGGTGTTCCGTCCGAGAACATGCACAGGGTTGTACTAGAATTATACTTCACATGTCAATCAGAATTTGGTGGCTTTCTATGTGTAATACGTGGTACAACAGGAGTGAAAATAGCAAACCATTAAATGTGGCTAAAGCATAATGAAAAACAACAAAACTGTGGGAAAGAAGTCTTTGGACAAAGAAAATATACAATAGCATGACAAAAAGGATATTTAAAAAGGAACCAGACTGGAAGGAATATATCTTGAAAAAGATGAATGTTACAATGGGCATGCATGTTACCACACGCTGTTATACTGTAAATTCTTTGCCCCTAAATCACATAGATAAAAAACATTATGAAAAGAATTAAAGAGGACTCTCACCATTGTTTTACACCAAAGGCATTTCCAATCTTGTAGACGTAGAACACTCCCACACGTTTTGTCACAGACAGCACATTTAGCACTCACCGGCAAGTTGCCCTCGAGCCACTGGTGAGGCATAGCTACCTGTGCAGCAAGAAGAAAGGGCAGTCAAATTAAAGACTGGAGGACACCATTCTTACCCCAGGGAAGATCTATAATTATTTCTCACTCTATGGAATCAATACATGTATCACTCGTGGCACCCTTTCATTTAGTCCACAGTTATTGAGCATCTATTATGCCCTGAGCACCGTAGGGATACAAAATGAATAAGACTAAATCCCTGACAGTCAGGATTGGTAGTCTAATTGAGGGGCAATGAATGCAAAGGCATTATTATTAAATGATTACAAAGTGCTATCAGAGATTCGTATGGAAGGTGCAATGGAGACAAGGTTTCAAAGGTGGTCAGACACTGTTGAAAGGAGGCCCCGATGTCTAAGGAGTGAACATCTGATTAGACACCTGAGCTAAGCCTTAAAGAACATCTTACTTGTCAGGAAAGGGTCCACAACCCCAGCCTAGCACAGCAACCGCTTCTAATTTCCCTCAAAATTTAAGAGCTGAGGGCAGCCCGGGTGGCTCAGCAGTTCAGCGCCACCTTTGGCTCAGGGCGTGATCCTGGAGACCCAGGATCAAGTCCCACGTCATGCTCCCTGCATGGAGCCTGCTTCTCCCTCTTCCTCTCTCTTCCTCTCTCTCTCTCCTGTCTGTCTCTCTCATGAATAAATAAATAAAATCTTTAAAAAAAAATTTAAGAGCTGAAGGAAATTATGAAGGATCTAACTGGAAATAAAACTCATAATTAATCAAAGCCTTCCATTTAATCCTACTAGAAAATACTTGCACTCAACTCTGCCATTTCCCACAGGGCAAACAATAAAAGGGAGGTTGTGCTAGGAAGAAATCAGAGACAGAACTGAACTTACTCCATCTTCGTCCTCTATGATGTCCTTCCCGATGGAGGCCAGAGTTGTCCATTTGCAATTATTTGTCGCCCTCACTGCACATCTTTTGTGAGCCTTGAATTTACACACTAAAAAAAAAAAAAAAAAAAAGTCAACCATTTCTAGATGAATATATACTTTTGGAACAATGATTAGAAGAAATCACAGCATGAAATCTCAAAGAGAAGTAGAAGAAACACAATAACTTTAAAAGCTTAAATTGGGGTGCTTGGGTGGGCTCAGTCGGTTAAGCATCTGCCTTCAGCTCAGATCATGATCCCAGGGTCCTGGGAAGTCCTGGGATCAGGCCCTGCGTCAGCTCCCTGCACAGCGGGGAGTCTGCTTCTCCCTCTCCCGCTCCCCCTGCTGGTGCTCTCTCTTTCTCTCTGTCAAATAAATAAATAAAATCTTTTAAAAAGATAAAAAGTTTAAAATATTCTTTAACAATAGGAAAGGTATTCTGAAAATACCTTTTCAGAAGACATTAATTTATTTATGATACATATGACTATGTATTTAGGAAGCACTTTTATCAATCCATAGATTGCTACTTAGATTCCACTCAAAAATAAAACAGAAAGGCAATAAATACAAAAGAACTAGTTTTTTTTAGGAGAAAGGAGGCAACACATACAAACACACAGAATGAAATAAAATTCAGTAATACAGAAATGCTGGAAACACCCTATTTCTTAATCTGGATATTGATTACATAAATGTGTTAAATTTGTGAAAAATTCTTTGGGTTGTACTCCTCCGGCATTTGTATTTTTCTGTACATATATGTAAAATTAAAAGTTTGAAAATATCAGTAAGATAAAGAACAGGATAATTCAGAGGAGTTTTAAAGAGCAAGTATGTTAAGAAAATTTCCAGTCACGGGAAATAGGTTGATAAAGATCACAAAGACAACACCGTCTTTTAAAAGTATCATTGTGGGGGGGCATCTGGGTGGCTCAGCTGGTTAAGTGTCTGCCTTTAGCTCAGGTCATGATCCCAGGGTCCTGGGATAGAGCCCCACATCGGGTTCCCTTTTCAGCAGGGAGTCTGCTTCTCCCTCTCCCTCCCTCTCCCTCTGCCGGCCGCTCCCCCTGCTTGTGCTCTCTCTCTCTCTGTCAAATAAATAAAATCTTTAAAAAAAATAAAAGTATTATTGTTGGGATTACTACATTATAACGTAGAAGAAAATAATGATGAAGTGCACTACTTCATCAGAAGCCCATCACTCATTCTGTCCAGCCCTATTATCAAAAAGGAGCCTATACAAGAGACATGAGACACTGAAACTTACAAGACATTAATAAAAAAAAAGACACAAATAAATGGGAAAAATATCCCATGCTCATGTATTGCAAGAATTAATATTGTGAAAATGCCCATAGTACCCAAAACAATATACAGATTCAATGCAATCCCTGTCAAAATTCCAATGGCATTTTTCAAAGAACTAAAACAAATCATTCTAAAGTTTTCATGGAACCACAAAAGACTGTGAACAGCCAACGCAGTCTTGAGAAAGAACAAAGTGGAAGGTATCCTACTCTCTGATTTGAAACTACATTATAAAGCTATAGTAATCAAAACAGTATGGTGCTGGCATCGAAACAGACACATAGATCAAAGGAACAGAAGAGAGAGCCCAGAAATAAATCCACACATATATGGCCAATTAATTTATGACAAAGAGCCCAAGAACACATAATGAGGAAAGAAGTCTCTTCAATAAATGGTGCTGGGAAAACTGCACAGTTACATACAAAAGGATAAACCTGGTGCATCTCTTACATCATACACAAAAGTTGACTCAAAATGGATTAAAGACTTGAATGTAAGACCTGAAACCATAAGATTCTTAGAAGAAAACTCCCTAACAGCTAATTCCTTGACATCAATCTTGGTGATGATTTTTTTTTTTGGGGGGGGGGGTGTCTGACACCAAAAGCAAAGGCGACAAAGCAAAAATAAACAAACAGGACTACATTAAACTAAAATGTTACTATGCAGCAAAGGATGCCATCAACAAAATGAAAGGCAACATACTGAACAGGAGAAAATATTTATAAATCATATATCTGATAAGGGGTTAACATTCAAATTTTATAAAGAAGTTCTATAAGTCAATAGCAAAAACCAAATAATCTGCTTAAAAACTGGGCAGTGGATCTGAGTAGACATTTTTCTAAGTAAGACATACAGAGAGCCAACAGACACATGAGAAGATCATCAGCGTCACTAATTATCAGGAGAATGCAAATCAAACCCAGAATGAGATATCACCTCACACCTGTTAGGATGGCTATTATCAAAAAGACAAGAAAGTACAAGTGATCTGAAGAAAAGGGAACCCTTGTGCACTGTTGGTAGGAATGCAAATTGGTGCAGCCACTGTGGAAAACATTATCAAATATCCTCAAGAGATTAAAACTAGAACTATCATATGATCCAGCATTTCCACTTCTGGGTATTAATCCAAAGAAAACAAAATCACTAATTTGAAAAGGTATTTGCACCCTCATGTTCATTATAGTATTATCCATAATATCCAAGATATGAAACAATCGAAGTGTCCCTCAATGGATAAATGAATAAAGAAAATGCGGTATCTATATGAGTATTTCCACAGTGGACTATCATTCAGCCACATAAATGAATCAAATCTTGCCATTTGAGACAAAAATGAAAGGACTTAACGGATATTTTGCTAAGTTGTAATAAGTCAGAGAAAGACAGATACTTTTTTTTTTATAAATTAATTTTTATTGGTGTTCAATTTACCAACATACAGAATAACACCCAGTGAAAGACAGATACCTTATGACTTATATGCGGATGCTAAAAACGACAACAACAAATCCACAAAAAACCAAGCTCACAGAAACAGAACACACTAGTGGTTGCCAGAGGTAGGAGAAGGGAGGTAGACTAAGTGGGTGAAGGGAGTCAAAAAGGTACAAATCTTCAGTTATAAAATAAGCAAGTCATGGGGATGTAATGAATGTACACCATGGTGAACATACTTAGATATACTGTACTGAATATTTGAAAGTTGCTGTGGGAGTAAATCTTAAAAGTTCTCATCAAAAGGAAAAAAAGTCTGTAACTACAGCTGGTGACAGATGTTCTCTAGACTTATTTGAGTAATCATTTTACAATATATACAAATATCAAGTCAAAAACACAAGAGAGAGAGAAAAAAAAGAGGAAATACCCAGGGAAGAAGCAGTTCATATATGAAGAACAAGTATACCACAGATTATTTGAGAAAATAACCCTGACTTATGAAAATCAGAACTTGAGTACTACTAAACATTATTTATCCTTTTAAGGATACAAATTCTCCAAGTATTAGTGGATAAGGATGTTATACCAGTTTCTGACTTTTCAGATAAATACTTAAAAGCAGAGATCACTTCAGTGGAAATGTAATTAGGTAACTGTTGCTAAATGCTATATGAAAAGGGGCTCCTTTTCACGTGATTTTTGAATTTCTAACTGTAAACCATTAACAATTTGGAAATGATGGGTTGGATGCCATTGTTTTAAAAAATTCCTAATTTAGCATAGCATGCAAATGAAAGGGTCTGGTAAAGTCACTGAGCGTCTATAACCAAATGTTCAAAATGCTTCAGGATGTCATACATAGACCATATATAAAAGGTCACTTCAGCTGAGCTGGTTTTTCCTTGAAAAATATTAGTCTAGACATTGAAATGTTTCATTTATCTGGTCTTTTGTGGACATTGACAAACACTTTCCCGGAAATCATACTATTTTTGTTATAAAGGACTTTGTGACTCGAGCACAGACTTCCTAGAGAATAAACCAGTTTTTCAATGGTGTCTGATAAACAATAGTGTAAGGAAAGAGCACCGTAGGAAGTAAGCTGAATTTGAGTAACAATTTTAGCATGACCTGCTCCCTTTTGCTCCCATGCAAGTGACTATTTTAAAATTGAGGTTAATTAGTAACTCCAGGTTTTTCGTCTCTTACGGTATTTCTCAAAAGTGTGGTCTCAGTTTTAGTTTTATCTGCAACATAATTCCCAGGCTGCTTTTTAAGTACAACTAAGTATTTGATATTGACAGTCAATAACTGTTTTTTAAGAGGCAAAGAAGGAAGTAAAAGAGAGCAACAGCAAATGATTTCGTGGCTTTTTGAAAATTTTTCTATTAAAAATCAAACAGCTCATTAAAAACAAAAATCACACTTGTAACAATAAAGAACTTCATGCAATGAGCCCTGAAAATTGGAAAGTTGCTTCATGTAGTACACAATAGTAATAAAATAAACCAAACTGAGATTATAGTCACTAAGGAATGGAAATTATTAATAGGCACCTTAATTTTGTTAGGCGACAATTAGATTTCTCCAAATGAGTTATTCTGAAATAAAGCACTTTTCCCTGACCTATAAAGCCATTATTTTAAAACCACAGAATTTAAAAAAATATATACTGACATGTCACAAAATTATGGTTTTTTTATTGCAATTTTTCAGCCTACCACATTGAATCTTTGTAAATGTTCAACAGTGGCTAAGATAAAAATTCATAGGTACCTATGCTAACATATTTAATGCTGTTGATTCAAAAGAAAAAAAATCACCATTTAACTTTTTTTGTTTAGTTACTGTTTAAAAAACTGTGAAGAACAATTATGCTCTGATATTAAAATTAACATTCTCGACCGATTTAGGGAATTATTTATGAAAAGTATTTTCCATCTTCTCCATTCATATATTTTACTATGCAAGGCTTTAAAATAACAATTTTAGTAATTCTTCAACACAAACCCAGAAGACAAATCAGTACAGGCTTGTTTTACTGTGAAAAATTAGGGCAGAAAGATTAATTTAGTGATGGCTTCACACACGAAACTGAATTCCATTCCAATACCAAGTTACTCATTGTCACTGTTGAACAAATTTTTCTTGTATTTGCATCTCTGTTTTATCTTTTAAAGCCTTTTGCATCCTGTGTCTTTTGTTTTTATCAAGCAAGCAGTTTATTCAGATTTGGGCGGGGGGGGGGGTTCTAAAGTTTAAGTCTAACTTGGATTACAAGAAAATGATCCTAAATAACCACATTCTCCTAAAGTAAAAAAGTCACTTGTTTATACATTCATAAAACCCTTGGGATTTTTAAAACCTTCTGCTACAGTTCTAACAATACCAATGGGCAAGACGCCACAGATTTAAAATTTTTATTAGCAGAGAAAGTGATAAAATTTTTATCACTTTTCTTTTAAAAGTATTGGAAAAATAGTCATCCCAGTTTAAATTCAATACACAAACAATTAAATATATTTAATCCCACATAATGCTCAACTCAGAAGGGTACCACAGAGTATCTCAGACCTGACATCTTTTAGCATTTTGGGGATGAGATGCTAGGAGGCAACAGGTTAATGATCTTCAAAATAACTCCTCAGGGGTGCCTGGGTGGCACAGTTGGTTAAGTGTCTGTCTGGCTCAGGTCATGATCCCAGGGCCCCTGCATCAGTCTTCGTGCTCAGTAAGGGGTCTGCTTCTCCCTCTGCCCCTACCCGCTGCTTGTGATCTCTCTCTCAAATGAATAAAGAAGATCTTTAAAAAAAAAAACAAAACAAAACACACACACACACACACACACACACACACACACACACAAAACCCCAGAATGTTACTGACCTGGTAAGAGTAACTCAGAGCAACAGAAACCCTTGTAGATGACTAAAGTCATAAAGAGCAATCACACCTTGTTTGCAACCATTCTTTAAATCTTAAAAAAGAAAAAATGTGTAACGCCTCTTCCAAATGTTCGTTTTCATGAACTTTAGTGCCTCAGGCCATGATGCAATCTGCAATCATTTACTTGGTGGTGGGTTTCTTACAAAGAACAGTTACAAATTTCCACAATTTATTTGACTAGAAAATCCACTTTCTTGTGTATATTTTTGCATTTAATTTTCATAGTGTCTGGAAGATATAAATGACTATTATCCCCGTTTTGCAGATGAGGAAACCAAAGTCAAAAAAGAGTAGAGCTGGGCAGTCCAGGTGGCTCAGCGGTTTGGCGCCGCCTGCAGCCCGGGGTGTGATCCTGGAGACCTGGGATCGAGTCTCACGTCAGGCTCCCTGCATGGAGCCTGCTTCTCCCTCTGCCTGTGTCTCTGCCTCTCTCTCTCTCTCTCTCTCTCTCTCTCTGTGTGTGTGTGTGTGTCTCTCAGGAATAAATAAATAAAATCTTAAAAAAAAAAAAGAGTAGAGCTACTTCCCTTGGTCACCATTTATAATGCTGGGAGTGGGACTCGAACCCAGTGCCGAGTGGGGGTAGGGGTGGTGGTAACTGAGGAACTCTCTTCTTCACCTCTGTGCTATATCATATTAAATAGCTGAAACTGGGACACCTGGGTGGCTCAGTGGTTGAGCGGCTGCCTTTGGCCCAGGGTGTGATCCTGGAGACCCGGGGTCGAGTCCCATGTCCAGCTCCCTGCATGGAGCCTGCTTCTCCCTCTGCCTGTGTCTCTGCCTCTCTCTCTCTCTCTCTCTCTCTCTCTCTCTCTGTGTCTCTCAGGAATAAATAAATAAAATCTTAAAAAAAAAAAAAAGAGTAGAGCTACTTCCCTTGGTCACCATTTATAATGCTGGGAGTGGGACTCGAACCCAGTGCCGAGTGGGGGTAGGGGCGGTGGTAACTGAGGAACTCTCTTCTTCACCTCTGTGCTATATCATATTAAATAGCTGAAACTGGGACACCTGGGTGGCTCAGTGGTTGAGCGGCTGCCTTTAGCCCAGGGTGTGATCCTGGAGCCCCGGGATCGAGTCCCATGTCCAGCAGCCTGCATGGTGCCTGCTTCTCCCTCTGCCTGTGTCTCTGCCTCTCTCTGTCTGTGTCTCTCATGAATAAATAAAATCTTTTAAAAATAAATAAATAAATAGATAGCTGAAATTATGACATAGCACAGATTTGATATCTTAAAATGAATGAAAACTGTAATTCTATTTTACTACTTCATTATTTAAGTAAAATAAAGTTATGTTCAAAATTAAGACTTTTTTGTATTAATCTTAGACATAGTTCAGAAAGTAGTACACAGTAGTGTGATCACTGAGGCATGGAATTAAACAAATCTGAAGAAGTTATGAATTTTCTCTTGGTAATAACTAGTGTATCTGCTTCTACTGATCACTGCTTTTTTATTTTATTTTATTTTTTAAAGATTTTATTTATTTATTCAAGACAGACAGAGAGAGGCAGAGACACAGGCAGAGGGAGAGAAGCAGGCTCCATGCTGGGAGCCTGACGTGGGACTCGATCCCGGGTCTCCAGGATCACACCCCAGGCTGAAGGCAGTGCCAAACCGCTGGGCCACCCGGGCTGCCCATGTTTTTTTATTAAAAAAACAAAAACAAAAACAAAACAATCCCATAATGAAAACAACAGCATTGCCCTTGTGTTGAGAAAACCTTAAAGAAATGACAAAGGATGGCATCCATTTAAATTAAGCAGAGTGAAGGAAAAGAAAGCCCTTAAAACAATGAAATATAAATAGCAATTAGAGATTCTGCAGAAGAGCCCAGTGCTGTCCTCACTGCAAGTTTTGTTCTCGGTAATCAGTCAGGACAGAAAAAGAATACTGGCAAACCAGAGAGGCAGACGAGGTCTAAAGATGTTCTTTAAACAGTAGGGGCTCCTTCCTCAGGGGTGAACGTGCTACATTTTGATTTATACTTCCTCCCCAATGATTTGCATCATCTTCCCTTTGCAAAAACGTTTTCCAAGCTAGTCCTATGTGTGCAGAGCTCCACTCCAAGCTGCGGTAGAACTTAACCCCCGCATCCCCACTGTCACTGAGGAGCTTCCCCACCCAAGGGACGTGCTCTCCTGTGCTGACGTTCCTTCGTCTGTTCCCTGCACAGAAGCACTGAGGGCAGCGGGTTTGCAGCTCAGTGCCGGGGGAGGATGCGGGCTGAGTGCTACAGTACCTTCGCAGGACAGGCCATGGGAGGTGACTCCAGAAAGACTTTCTCTGCACACGTTACAGAAAGTGGGGCGGGCATGGGAGCAGGCGTACCAGTTATGCATCCCTGAGAAATGTTCCACGTTAAACTGGGCCACCTAGAAACGAGAGGTGAGCACAGATGGGCTGAACAAGAGAACAAGACTACAGGGACTTATTAACCCGGGGAATGCATGCAGTTAGGATTAAAATTTCAAATCTGTAATTTTTAAAATGAAAACACTTTAAGTAAAAAACAAAACAAAACAAAACAAAAAGCCCATATCTGATTTAAGCAACTTGCTTAATGAAACTATACCTACTTTTCTTGGCAGAATACAGCTCTAGCTTTTCGGATGACAGTTCTCTAAAGGACAGGAGGTGCCGGGAAAGATGCTACTGTACCTCGTAAGGTTCTCTGGTCTGTACAGACTTCAGTGAGCTCATCCAATCCTCCATCTCCTTCCTGTTCTCAGCACACAGCATTAGTCTTCTGAATGGAGTGATTATCTGAAAGGGGTAATTCAATCTAATGATTGTTAATAACCAACAAGACAGATTATTGCAAAACCTAGCAATTGTACAAGGAAATTCCATTTTTTAGCCTTGTAGTCTTTACTTCCCTGATGAAGACAGTAGGAGTCTCTGTAACATAAATGAGTTTAGTTCTCTGAGTACGATACAATGGGGTCTCGGAAAGAAAAATTCTAAGGAGGTGTTTCTTGTCTTTAATCTCATTGCTACTTACTTGGGTCTTTTTTAGCCCCTTACCAAAGGCTAACCCAAATAAACAACGTATTCCTGTATCTTGGAACGTTTCTTGAAAGTTGATTTTAAATATACTTAAGAATAATTTATCGTAAGCTTAGAAATAATACATAGTTTTCAATATGGAAATTTAGAAAGTTAAAAACCAAAGGAATGCAATATTGAATGATTCGTTATTGGCTCATGAAAACATCAGGAATATTCTGTTATTAAATAATATTGGATTTACATATCATTTTCATTGTCTATTTTAATATGATTACAGTATGAAGGGTACTTTCCCCTTTGTACAGAATTCAACTATACTACTTTTTAGTGAGAGCAGGACAGAAGAATTAACATAGAAGTCCTTTAACTGGCTTTAAGGGAAGGAAATAATTGTGACTTTTATCTTTTTTTCATGTCACTAAGGAACGCAAATTATATTAAGAGTCTTAAGGCAAGTGAAATGAAGACTTTGTGCTGTTACAGCACCAAAAGCGATTCAAAGTAAGATTCTGAAATGACCTGAAAGAAGCCCCTATTTATGTGTGAATACAGCATTCTAGTTGTAATCTTGAAGTTGCTAAGTCCTAAGCGGTCACTGCAAAGAGGGGACCATTTACTTACTTGTGAAAGAAGAGCAAACTTCACACGCATTCCTCGAAACTACCTCCAAATAACAAGGTATATACTTAGATGGCCAATGAGAAATTTTCTCAAGTTAGAAGCCATTTGATCAAGTGATAATCTGCATATTGCATTAAGAAGCAGATTTTCTGAAGTCATGAAAAAGCAATAATCATCTAAAAACAAAAGAAACCCTTCCCCCACGGAGTAAAACAGCAAGCCTCGGTCACTACTGTTCATCTCAGGAAATAAGTCCATTATTCAAAACTGTAGAGACGAGCCCAATCTTAGCTACTCACCACTCATTGCTTCCTTTCTTTCGTCTTTAGAGTGCACGATCCTTCCTTAAACCAAAGGCCCTTTCATGCATCTCACAGGCACTCACGCTTAAATACAGCCTTCCAGAAGTCACATGGAGGAGGAGCACCAACCATTCAGCTTTGGGTATTTGTTAATTGCATATAAAATTGAACAGAACCTCACTTCTGCATTTTCTTCTGTTTTCCACCACCCTCTATGGATAAAGCTTATTAGCAGTTGGTCACTTGTCTTCCTGAATAAATAGTTAATGAAAGAGCACTGCCTCCCTCATTACTTAGGAGCCAAATGGATGCTTTATTGCTTCAAAATGTTTTTCTAGGGCAGCTCATCAAATGCAGCAGAAAAGATACCATTAAATCATAATATTCTCCTGGCTCCGACGATTGGCCCAGCAGTCCAGAAATCTCCCAGTTTCACTGGACTGACTGAATAAATCTGATTTATCTGAATAAATATCACTGCTAGCGTATTTGTTTATTTATTTGCTATACTATGCGATGTAACTCTAAGGATTCCCTCACTTTCGTTATGATCTTATAGTGAGACAAATATTATTCAGATAAATAAATCTGGCTTGTTATTTTATCCTTTTTATTTTTTGCTGAAGTCGAAGTAAGCAGGATGTCTGATGGTTTTAACTATCTTTAATGCCTTTGAATTCTTTAAAAGTCACTGTGAATTCAATAAAAAGGGAAGAAAAAAGAATAGAGAAATAGCTTCAAATTTTTCTCTTTTTTAAAGATTTTATTTATTTATTCATGAGAGACACAGAGAGAGAGGCAGAGACACAGGCAGAAAAAGAAGCAGGCTCCCTACGAGGAGCCCAATGTGGGAATTGATCCCAGAACCCTGGGATCACCCCCTGCGCCAAAGGCTCAACTGCTGAGCCACCCAGGTGCCCTAGCTTCAAATTTTTCTTATAGCTTTTGTAACTGTATAGAGGCCTCAATCTTTAAAAAAAAAAAAAAAATTCAGCAACATAAATCATACATGTACCTTACATGCTAATGGAGCAAAATGTGTACTTGGGCAATTTCTCCTTTTTAACAAAAATATGTTTAAAAATGGTCAAAAAAAGCAAATAAAGATCATAACACAAAAGTTGTTTTCAAGTGCCAAAAAGAACTTATGCAATTTTGATTTATAGCCCTTGTGATTAAGAAATCTACTGATTATAGTTACATTATAAGATGTCTGTATGGAAAAGAAAATCCTTTGTAAATCATGTGTCATGCAGAGATGTCTGGCTTTGTGCCTTCTGTATCAAAAACATCTCCTCAAAAAAAATTAAAAATTAAAAAATTAAAAAAAAAAAACCAAACACCTCCTCAAGCAGCCTGGAGTTGCCTGGGCCTAACTCATGACCAGCCTGGCTTCCCAAGCAAACCTGTAAGGTCCCCCAGATTGGCCCTTCCTCCTCTGCTGTAACCTCTCACCAGCCCACCAAAGCTGAGTCCTCCCCCCACCTTTTATCTACATTCTTCCTCATCCTCCACCCCTGTAGGAAAGAAATGGGACAGTCACAGTTGTCTGACAGGCTTTGGTCATATCCTAACTGAACCTCATCACACTATAGTGGTTTCCCCTCTAAATCTTCACTAGGAAAATATTTAGGAAGCAGCAAACTCTGAAAAGTATTTGGTTCTTACTCGGAAAGTCAACATACTCAGCCTTTTTATTATGACAGCGTGTGGAGATGGAAAGGTAGAGGTGTGGGGAGGGGGCTAACCCAGGGAGGTCTGTTTGAGACTGGGAGGGCATGGAGGGTACCCCAGGCCAGGAAATCTAGAGGACTTTTTTACTGTTCTTGAAGGACCTGCAGCTTACCTCTCCTAAATTGTCCTCTAGCCCTGTCCTTATCTCAACCTTACTCTTTACCCGCTCTCCTCACCACCCCAATATCCCCAAATAATTCTTTTCAGGCACATCTGAACTTATTTCACTAATTGGCTTTCTGACTATAACCACAACACCTGCCTCAGAACACTTTGCCTGTTCATCCACCCCAGCATTTACTGAGCATGTACTGCATGCCAGAGACCAGGGGCTTTGCCTTAATAATCTAGAAAGGAGACAATGAAGTAAGTCAAGGGCTACTTGTCTGAAAAATAGCTGTATAAGATGGACACAAAGGAGAGACATCTAAATCAGTCTCCTAGGGCACCTGGGCAGCTCAGTGGTTGAGCGTTTGATCCCGGGGTCCTGGGATCAAGTCCCACACCAGGGAGCCTGCTTGTCCCTCTGCCTGTGTCTCTACCTCTCTCTGTGTGTCACTCATGAATAAATAAATAAAAATCTTTTTAAAAAATCAGTTTCCTAAATGCTGCCTCAAATAATATACAAATTCTCCATTAATAGAGATATTGCTCCATTTGGAGAGTCAGTGGCCTATAGGTATTAATCCAACAACACTATTACAGGTGTATAAGAACTGAGAATTTGTCAGTCCAATAAGGCATATAGATACATAAAACAGGAGACACTCTAGCATTAAATATGTAAAATTCTATAGACGAGTAACATTTTAGTTAAGACTTTAAATACATAAATTGCACAGGAAATAAACCCCACAAATACTGTACTGGTCATCTTTCAGTGAAGGGATTACAGATGATTTAATTGTAATTTTTTTGGCTTGTCTATGGTTTCCAAAGCAAATATTTTGGACTTTTATAATAAAAGTATTATTTAATTTTTCTTTCTTTCTTTCTTTCTTTCTTTCTTTTTTTTTTTTTACTAACGGAAGGATGGGAATTCAGAATTTAAAACTCTGCATTGTTCTTAAAGTTGGCTGGGGTTCTTAAAGGAGGAGTTCTTAAAGTTGGCTGCCCATTAGAATCACCTGGGAGAATTTTTAAAATCCCAATGTCCAGGCCACACTCCATACTAATTAACTGAGAACGTATTGAGGGTGAGGCCCAGCCACCGTTTGTTTGTGTTTTTTTTTTTTAACTTCCAAATATTTGCAAAGTTCAGGTATGTGTGAGAACCAGTGCCCTAGAGATATTTTACTATCCCCACAACATTGTCAGAACGTAAAAAATGATAGAAGTTTGTGTAGACAAGTGAATTACAGGGAATTGCTAATCTGCAAATTCCCACCTGGAAGCCACTCATGTAACAGCAAAGTGATTCAGTGCCTACATTCTGGAGTGTGGCCCACTTTGAATAAAGACCAACAGCAACCTTTCTTACTTCTGTGGCTGTGAACAATGTTTCCTCCACTCTATGAGCTTTGGTGTGGTACCTGCTAAGTGAGGGTAAAGCATTAACTCCCAGCTCTACAGAGTGTGGGGGGTGTTAGTGAGACAATCCAAGTAAAGCATTCAGCACAGTGTCTGTGAGGAAGCCAAAGCTCAGTCAATATTAGCATCCCAGTTCTTGGCGTGGAGAGAAATTATGTATACAGGTGCAGATTTCTTCTATTTTACATAAATATATATATATTACATATATATATATTTCTTTTGTGTCCACAGTCAAAAATAACAGGAACTGGAGGCATTTTGCCAACAAAACAGTCACTGACTAGAAACCACCAAAATGAGAATAATGACAATGAGCTGCTCCTTAGAAGATATTGGGAAAATAGTAACAAACGATCAGGAAAAAACGGTCCCCCCCTTAACTGCACTGCATCTCACCTTACCCACAGCAGAAATAGCAGATGGCAAAAGGCTTACCAAAGGGAGGCTCATCAGATTCCTCTCTGTACGATACTATAAGAGTTCGACATGCCATCTCTAGGGACTTAAACTATTTTAGCAGAGTTTCTCCTTTTAACTCAGATTTTTGATTCCATGATGAAGGAA